ATGCAAGAGTTTCGAAATGAACATCTTGATCTAATAAAAAGGAAAATAGTGATGAAAGTTTTAAATGATTTTAGATTAAAAATAATTTCAAGTTATCTTCAATTTACCTTCTGAGACACATTTCATGATCATTTCGATATCAGCTTTATTACCGCTAACTCTATACAGTCCAACAATTTGTTTACCTAACAAAAATTTATGACATCACTTTATCTGGGCGATACCATACACGATATATATTTTACGGCGCGAATGAAATTATACAGTGCATAAATACCATGTTTTTCCAAGTATTTTATACAATTTTCTATAAAATCCGGCACCATGTTACTCTTGTTTTTAGCCATATCATTTAATGTGAATTGTGATTGACATGAAGTTGAATGTAGTTTGGATATCTTTTTATTCATTTTTTCATCTGTTCGTCGTTGCTTACGCTGCTTTCGACGTTCATCTTCTAATCGCCTTTCTTGTTCTTTTCGCTGACGTTTTTGATCTCGTTTAGCTTTTTTCTGTTGATCTTGCCGATATTTTTTTGTTCGTAATAGTTGTAAGAAGTCATTCTAAAAGCAGTGAACATTAAGAAATAAAAATTTTAATAAGCACTAATACAAGATATCTAAACGACATTTCATAGCTTAGAAATCAGATTACAGTATATTAGTGATGGAAGAAAGAAAAAATTATTTCAATATAAATAACGTCGTCTAATAGGTAACACAGAAAGTTTTCTTAGTGTACAACTAATACGTAAGTTATACCTTCAATATACGCGAGCTGCTGAGCTTTGAAAGTGCTTCTTCACACGAGTCCTTCGAAATTTTAGAGCAAAATTTAGATAATACATTTTCTAAATTTAGAATCAAAAGTATCTTATTTTACCTACCTCAGAATCATCTGAGCCATGAATATCAAGTTGCAAACGGTTCGGCTAAAATTTACAGAGATACGATAATAAATTTATTAAAGACTTAATCTAGGGTGAGATATTCCGAAGATCAAAGTAACGATATTACTTACGACAGATAATACGTTAGAAAATCTAGGTGAGCTCCCACTAAAAACTCTACGCAATGTCGATGTAGGCGACAGTCCACCGGATGGCCTTACCAGTTCAGGTTCTCGGTCAGGTGATAGCAACCTATTCGGGCGAGTCTGTTCAGGTTCTGATTGATTTTTTACTTCCGGTGACTTATCAGTCTGTGCTTTTTTATTACCAAAAAGTTCTCTGTTTCTGAATGCATGCTTAGAATAAAAGGAAAATTTTTTTCTCCTAACATTTTCCTTTTTTACTCCTGTTCTCACATATGGGGTAGTTTCATCTTTTACCACTGTATGCTCAAAGTCTTCAGGCAAAGCCAGCGGTGCTGTCGTGTTATGCTGAGCATCTGGAGATTTTGCTAAGTCATCAGCATTCGATGATAGCACTAAAGTTGGTAAACTTTCACTTTTATATAATGATGACTGTCTTTTCAGTCCATAGTGAATTTTCGAACCATAGCTTTTAGAAGTATCTGCGCTGATCTGCTTAACAAGACCGACTGTATGCTCGGTCTTCGGATATTGCACATCAGATATTGAGTAGCTGCTAACTGTTTTGCTCATTTTGGTAGGTAGGATATTATCTTGTGAGTGATTAGAGCTACGAGTAGTTTGGCGACTCTGAGTGAGATCAGTAACTGCAAGAATGCTAGGTTCCTTGTTAGATATTATATTATCTAAGTTTGTTTCTTTCTTTTGAATAATTTTGGTTTCTATAACGTCATCAAGACTCGTCTCCTTATAGGTTTTTGTTCTTGTGGGTATGACATCGTCTATATTCGTCTCCTTGATGGCTCTTGTTGTTGTATGTATAATATCATCTATGTTTGTCTCTTTAGATTTTGTACGATGATGAGGCAATTGTATTTTCAGAGCTGCTGGGCTACCATCAACTTCATCTGTACCATACTCTGAATTGACTGGAGTACTGTTTACATTAGTAGCATTTAGTTTAGAACTTGAGTAAGTAGCAGGAGTTTTATCTATTGTCATAATATCTTCTTCTTCAACGGCTATAGGTAATACTAGTTTGGAAGAAATTGTTTTAGGCCTTGCGACGGATTCTTGAACTATTGATGACTCCTTAAACGGACTAGGACTATGAGAAGCCGAAGAATCAGTAACCACATCATTGACTTTAGCATCAGAATCAAGAGGAACTGTGGAATTTGAATCGGTATTGTCAATTGCTGTACCATCTATAGACACATTTCTTTGGGTGCTCAAATCAGGTGTTGTTAAGGATACTTTAGAGGTGTTATCCGCGTCTGTTGATATAGATTTTTGTTCCCACATTTTTTTAATGTCAGCAAAATTGTTAACAGCATTAATGCCTTCATCCTCATCAATGCTACCAGAATTTGAGATTAAATTATCTATTTTCTCTGCGGTAGGTATGTAGTTTCGTTCTTCATCTAATTCAGTATCGGAGCCTTGATCGAAAGAGGTATAATTACCAGTTTTTCTCTTTCCGTGCATAGATTCACAACGTTGTCTACTATACAGATCAATTACATTGTTTTGCATCGTTGTTGATAACGCTGGCTGGTTCTCATTTACCGCATCAGAATATTTCATTTTTGCGCTATTAGTGGGTACTAATAGGTTTTTCTGTGCACTCGAGGTCGATCCTTTACTTTTTCTTATGCTATCAATTAGTGATGGAGCAGAAGATGATAGTGAAGTTGCGGCAACGCGTTTTAATGGCAGGCCAGCTTTACTAAGAGAAATACTCAATACCAACGAGAAAAACAACGAAAAATCGCCAACTAAAGATATGTAATAAAAATATAAATTAATCATCAATCCGATTGAATCGGTAAATCACTATACGTATTTTGATACAAAAACCCACCATGATTAGGAAATCGGGGGGAATATAGCCATAAAAAGTTATTTCGTTGTTTCGCCAAATTACTTCCATCAGCTAGAAGTTTGGCAGCGTAGGCACGATCGAAGGAAACACCATAATCGAAATCTGCATCGGTTACCGCTAATACCAAAACTGGAATATCTTGCGGTAGAGATAAAAATAAATTCCTAACAGTAAATAAATTGCCACGATTTAGGAGTGCAAGTCGAACATTTTTTTCATTCTAGTGAGCAACGTCACTTATTAACAGCATTAAGGTAATTGTATTTAAGAAAATCCTTTATCAGCTTGTAGCTGTGATATTGACCTCATTGTGACGAATGATGCTAGCCTTAGAGTTGAATAAATCAATACAAATCCTTGGAATTCATTTGCGTTTACGTGGTGAGCACCTACATATTATAGTTGCAATTCGAAATAATGACGATAATTATTGTTATCTTTTACCTTGCTACTATAGTTCTATTTAAGAATGCTGAGCGAAGACTTACTATGAAGTGATGTTAATTGTAGAGATATTTTCTTCATATCGCCTTCAAATGGCATTTCAATCAAAATATCTTCTGGCTTATTTTGATCAATACTGCATTTCTTATTCTTCCACAAACGATCGAGGATACGTTCGATTTTGTATGGATCACAACACATTGCACATAAGCATAATCTTTACGACCAAGTCATGGAAACGAAAAATAGTTATCGAATTTAAATTTAAAATTGGTTCCATGTAAACTGAAAGAAAACTGAAATAGCTAGCGTGAAGTAGTTCAGATTTCCACTCATAAACAACATTCTGTAAGGACTGGCTAATACAAGTATACGTACCTAATGTCATATTTACTATGTTCTTCTCGTGGATGCTTCGCCGTTATTCCTCTCATTACCTTATTCATGCATTTCCCGTCACCATAAATACATCTGCCTTTACCATGCATACAAATGACATAATCTAATAAAATTTGATCTATGTCTGTCGATTTAAGGTGTTTTAAGCGCTTGTAGCGATTATCTTTCGAAATGCAACCCTTCAACTGGGATATATCTAATTTAGTATAATCATTATCTGCTTGTAGCAAAGCCTTACAAATATCTGGCGATTCAAATAATAATTCGATGAAATCTGTTCTACACCTTTCAGTAAGATCTGACTGATATTCTTGGTATATCTGCTTCCGATCGTTTACTGATAATTTTATGTAGCAAGTTTCATATTTTACATAAGACTCGATAGCAGATATATCCATCCCAGGAAGAATATTAGGTATGTGGATTAAAAGTTTACGAAATTCTAACTTTGCTAGATCTACCTCTCTACGTTCACGGAGATTTTTGATATGAGTTCTAAACATTACCTCGGCATCGCTTTGTAGTAGTAAGTCGTAGGGTATGCGGGGATCGTCACGAAGTAAATGATCGCTTTCACTCCAAGGTAAATCATCGGGAAAGATAATGATATATTTATGACAAGTTCCCATGTTATGTCTTATCCAATTGCAACAAGTAGACCAATTTTCAACACTGCCAACTGTTCGTAATAGGGCAGAATAGGTTGGCCAAATCTGCTGTAGTGTCTTAGGAAGTAATGACATATATTCGTAATATTTTCGTTCTTCTAGATCAGCCTTAAGTTTACGTAAATGTTTCCGAAATTGTTTTTGTGCTGCTTCGCTTCCAATACAGTCAATAACCTTGATATAAGCTAAATCGTCTTGGATATCGTCAATGACTTCACTCCACTTGGTCGTACAACTGTCCACATGATCTTCTAATATTTGATTAAGTTCAGTTATTAAAGAAATTTCTTCTTCATTTTTTTTGGCTTCTTCAACGCTATAATCGATTGGCTTGAAAACAAATTCCGATTCTAGAAGTATCATTTGAGCTAATGCACGAAAAGCGTCATCAATGCCTATATTTCGATGAGCAGATGTTTCGATCAATGGGATATTAGGTTTATTCGAAATAAATTCGCTGATAACTGATAAAGACTGATTATCACTTTCATCACATTTCGTGGCTGCAACTAAGAACGGTTTTCCTACTTGAAATAATTCATCTATCAGGCTTTGGAAAAATTTAAATTGCAGTTCGAAATATCCATTGGCATCACTATTATTAGACTTGATATCGAATACGCAGATAAAACCGTCAATATTTAGTTGGCTATCTGGCATGTAGTCTTGAGGATATCCATTAGGCAAACTGACTTGATCGCTATTATAGTATGCTATTTTGCCATCCGAGGACAAATTGGTTTGGAGGGCACGTTTGTGATATGGTAGTATGTCGTCAGCACAAAAAGGGACACCAGTCTGCTCATCAATAAATTCGGTTTGCTCAATAACACGATAGACTATTCGGCTATTATCATCTTCATAATTTCGTACAACTTGTCCCCAATACAAGTAATGGTCACCATTAACAACTGGTGAGTTAAAATCGCTAAGGCTATATAAAGCTGAATCGTGATTATTGATATAACTATCAGCTTTAGGTCTAACGAAGCGATTACAAAAACAAGATTTACCGACGCCAATATTACCAGAATTTTGCTTGAAACCAGATAGGCCAACAACGCAGATATTCACCGTACCAGTAAGAGGTTTGCTAACTTCTTTTGTAGTCATACTGTCACTACAAGCGCTTTATACGCAGCTGTATAGCACGATAAAGTCTTTGTGATTTATAGGGAATTAGAATATATCAATTTGTTTTGAGTCATAAATTATTGTAGCTAGATGGTAAGTGCTACTAGAATCAGCTACTAGGTACAATATGGATCGATATTGCAATCCAGTTTGCTCATATATAGAACATTTTGCACCAATGTTGCGGGAGTATTAGATTTACAAGGTAACAAATATTAATAAAATGTTCAAATTCTGTAAAGATTGATAGCTGACGTTTTAAAGTTTCTGCATTGTATATAGATGCCCAGCTTAGAATGTTTAATACTTCATTTGTAAAAGTCTTGCCTTTCGTAGAAGCTGTTACAAGAATACAAAATAAGTAATTAGCCAATTTGTAATGGCAACATAATACGGTTAATTGAAAAAGGTATAACGTAAATCAGTTAGTTAGATCATGTAACATGGATTAAAAACATTTGAAGTAATCATACTTCACACCAATAGCTACTACCGTTGAAAGCTTATAAAAATAGTCGTCATTTTGATGATACAAGTACGTACCTATGTATTACATAAACACATATAAGAACTATACAGCAATATAGCAATTCGTGTCAGTTACTATTTGTCTTACGTCGTAAACTTCATCTGTACACATACAGTAGTATACGTGCGTTGTTCTGTATATTGGAATAACTTTAGTATATCGATTTAAGGTTAGATATTATATTATCATTGAATGATGCATGTTGTTATGTTATATGTTTCGGCGTTGTAACGTTACTGTGCAGATTTTACTGTTTATCCGAGGATGCTATATCAATTATGTGCAAAGTTTACATTTCTAAATGTACAAACAGCGACGTATAGCAGTTAGTTAACATACTATACTCAATAAGGTAGAAATAGGTTTGCGTGTTTCGGTGTAAGGTGTGGAGATGTTTCTATCACGGGTGTATGCTGTTTGTTACTCCGTATGAGTGTTCGTTGTTACTGTATAAAATGAGTAATACCAATTAATTAAACTACATAACAAAATCAGCAATGCCTTGTTCATGTATTGTATCATTTATTACGAGCTATGCTTGCACCAAGTTTTTATTCCTATTGGATCGATTGTTAATTATCAGACATTACTTTCAAGATTACGTAATTCGCGTTAACTTATTGGTTCATAACAATACATGTAAAAACGATAACAAAAAAAAATTTTAGCGTTGTTAGGATTTAGAATCGTCTGATTTTTGGATATGCTATAGGATTGAGATATTGTATTCACTATCACAGAGTTAAAATTGATGATTTAGTTCAGGATTCAATCGGATCCTTACGAAATAGAAGTGAAAATTTATACTGGTAATTAATTAAATAATGTACTGTATTTGTATTTATAGCACTGTGGGTTCCATCATCACCACATCCTATCACTTGGGCAGAAGAACATGAGTTACAGCAATACTTACAATTCACGATTATTACTGTAATTGCAGTTAGCGCACATTGCCATAATTGCAATACAACAACAACAACAAATTAATTATTGTTACGTCGCTTACAATACGCGATGGCTCAATATTGCGAATTGGTGAAGGAATATGGCAATATGGAATATTGCTCTATTTTGCATTACAGAGTAGCATATTAAATTTGTAAATTCCTTGTGGTATTATAATTAAGGGTAGAGCACGGTCGCGTGAACGGTTTCAAATTGCATGCAAACAATGTATAACAAACAAGATTAATTAAAGTGATACCTTAAAGAATAAATTCATCCTTCTATAGTATATTGAATTTTTAAAGATTTGATAATGGCTGTAAAGGGTTTGGGCAGTGAGACGATCTTCGACTTTACTGTTTGTATATCATACAATCGATACGATCATGATCATCAACAAACTTTCCACCAGGGTGCACAGTAGTCAACTACACCCGTTTAACTTGCAAGGGGGGGGGGGGGTACTGCAACGCTTAACATCGTATTTGTTTTCAGAAAGAGAAGAATTTTAATTCGCTCTATTCTACTGTATCGGATTTACAGTGTTCGGATTGATTCAAGCTGTTGAAAGTCACCGGAGTACTATAGTATTCACATTAAATGAATGTTTACGGAGATCAGATTGTGTTTGTTCATATCTTGCCTAAGACAGAAGCGAATTGAGTTATTTTAAGCTAGGTCTTTTTCATTTTTATTAAGGTTGTAAATTATGAATTATATTCTCTGCATAGTCCATGTGTAGTATTGATTTTTAGGATTGAATACACGTACCGTCTATTTTTTTTTTTAGCAGATATGATGGACGTATACATATAAGATTTAATATTTGTCACTTTCAGAGTGACAACGTTAAAACGAATTGATTAAGTCATGGAATTTCTCTCTGTGGGCAAAAATGATGCCAAATGCAACTAGGCGATATAAATACATAATATCATTCATCAGATTTTGCAGTCGTATCCGTGATTTAGAAATGTCAATTTCTTGGTCAAGGAGGCTATTGATCGGAAATATTGGATAGAGAGTCAGCGATATTCTTATCGTTGCTAGTCGTATCGAGTTACGCTTTATATATTGTGCTTGAATAGGAATGAAATTATATTTAGCCTCGTTGATACTCATCCACTGTGATGAATATAGGCTGTGGACTATTCCATTGAAAATAACAATATCGACTATGATGCATAGCATTGAGGTGGATAAAATGGTGGAGTTCGCTTGAGAAACACAATACTAGCTTGTGCTATGGTAGAAGGAGCTGATACGCTGGACATTAAATGGATATTTTCTATCAATATTGACAGCGTTCAAATAAAAATAGCAGAAACGATCGTGACTACACTATGATAGCGTTGAAGTAAAGTAGTAAAACAGCGTACATATCATTTTAATTTATTTTTATGACTCTAAGCTGTATTGTATTGATGATCCATTTTATCGTCTAAACGATTGGAACATACGCGTACGTCGACAGTAAGTAAAGTATCCATTTAATTGTAGTGTATTTTTATAATAGAGCACAAAACCAATAAACAAAACAGTTACATAACATAACATTGAGCTAGCTAGTATCATCCTATCGTACTTACAACATTGATGAAAGTGTGGCCAGATGGCTTTAATATAGTCAAAAAGACTAATGTAATAAGTTATCGATTGGGCAATCAATCGCAATTTCCAATACTGGATTGTTCCACTTTCCACAGTCTTGACTCTTGATGGCTTTTACGTTTGTATTCTCCACTTTAAAACCATGAACGTATGGACCAACGTATACTAAATCCTTGCAAAAAAAATATCGATTCAAGGCAGAAATAGACTGTTAATCAATACTGCAATCACTTCATCGAACTGCTATGGTAGATGAAGAAAAAAAAACTCCATTGACAGCCAAGATTCTACAGCCTACAGCGACTGCAATGCTGCCAAGAAATTGCCTTTGGGCGTCGATTGTGCTTGGTGATTTAGTGGCGTGAGTGGACGTACAGTACAGTACTGTACTGTACACTGTAGCCGACTGTACTGTACACTCTAACCAAGCCACTCGGGGTGACACTCTAGGCATCATTCAACACTAGTGTACAGCATCCTACTGTAACAACTTAGTTATAGCTTACTGTACTATAGAGCGTACTAGACAGAAGGGGTTCCGGTGGAATGCACTGTGCAAAATGCATGTCGCCACTTCTTTTTCCATTTTTCGACAACATGTCAGCATCCAAGTTGGGCGTTCGCTTGGTGATAGAAACTGATTACTTCAGTCCTATAACAACGTTGATGTTATAAGCTGGACAAGATCCATAGGCATTAGGTCACAGATTAGAATGGATAATGCTCGCTGAGCCTACGAGATATAAGAAAAACCCACAGATGGATAAACTTATGAATCCATAACTGTACAATACATGGACTACGAGAAGAGACTATTCTAATTATCCATGCCGTACAGTATAAAACCTCTGATGCAACTCACAATAACAACTGTCCCGTCTGCAATGCTAAACAGATGGAAAAACTTATGAATCCATAACTGAACGCTGTACAATAAATACATGGACTACGAGAAGACGTTATTCTAATTATCCAGGCCATACAGTATAAAACCTCTGATGCAACTCGCAATAACAACTGTCCCGTCTGAAATGCTAATGTCCGTTATTATCGTACAATGTACAGCACTCCAATCGGCTGAATAACGACCAGCTATTGTACCATAGAGATAGATTTGCTTTTCTTGTATCTAGATCGGCTAGTCTAGTCAAGGTCAAAAAAAACTATATTGACTACGGATTAATATTCTGTTTTTATCGTACGATCCACCGGAAGCGTCCTCGAGTTACTCTAGAGTTCCGACAATCAATAATAGTTGCAGAATACTCGTACTAATTGTTAGCAGCGCGCCCCGCTGGTTTCTCTGCAATAAGCATCTAAACTCCACTGTATTGCATTATACAGAGCTGTAAAAGAAGCACACTGTGCAACTGACTAAATGATACCATGGACTACTAGATTCGATACTTGGTATACTGTAGTATCGGCTATCTAGCAGTCCATGATGATACGAAGATCGTACTGTAAAAAAAAAAAACACTTTGCAACGGACTAAATGATACCAAGATCACATAGCTTTCCGACAGTGAGAGTCTGAGACGTAGATATGATTTATTTTAAAAATAAATAGACTAGTATAAAAGAAAATAATGAATTTTATCACCCATGGTCTATAGAATTACTGTAGTTCAATAGTGGTAATACTGTTGGAATTTATAAACCGCTTTAGTTAGCCTTATAAATTCATTACTTTTCCTCTTAAAAATTACAGTAGTTATACAGACAGCTAGATAACGCTGTATAAATTGTATCATTCTAAATAAATTACGATATGCGTACTACAAATGCACTATTAAAATAGATAGTAGCTTTTCGCCTGGTCGCTTCGCTGACAGAGATACCACAGTTCACTTTTCAATATGGATTAGATGAATGTGGCATCTTTCTGAATTATTCATTTTATTCAAATTAAAAACAAGTGCAATTAACAGCCAAGAAACTTACTGATAAAAGTTGTACTGTACAACTTCAACATGAGAAAAGGGTCTATATCAATATCAATACAGTTCAGCGATGAATCATTAACTTCAGTACTGTATAGTGAAAGACGCCATAAACTGACTAATATAATAACACAGAATCATTCCATACCTTTTCTTTCACAAGCCACTGTTTGTATCACATCCTATATCAGTATAACGACATTCACAAGTTCAAACTTAATTCTACTGTTATTATACAGGTTAAGATTTTGCAAAAATTTCTTGCTCCAAGTCAAATGTAACTTGATATTGTTGCTTGAAGGGTACACATTAGTCACATACTAATGGATAGGACGTCGTACACTTTTCGCTACGTAATACCCTATTAATATTCATTAAACTACAGCAGTACGCATATAGAGCTACAAATCACATCATAGCTTTCCAATTTCATCATGTATCATACAGAGTTAATCGTTACTTACAAAGTGCACATCTACCGTAATATATGTACAAAACTACATATATATATATATACAAGACAGGCTAAATAATTTGTTACTGGGCAACAGGCTTATGTATAGCAGAGCAGCATATTATACGAGATATAAAACATAAAATGCATATACGCTATATTAAATAACGCCTATAATTCTGAAGTGACTCAAAGCGTCAAGTTAGTTTGCGCCATAACAATTAGTTTATTGGATGTATCATTATTGAAAATGGGATTGAACGCTTTAACATTTTATTTTTTCTTTTTGTTGGATGATTGATTTAAATTTTTTCTGCCCGCAGCTTTGCTATAGTAAAATTTATGGTTAATAGCTGATTCTTGAGCCCACGCTGATGAGGCATCTGTTGTATCCTGGTCCACTAGATGGGTATATTTAGTTCTACCAGATCGCCCAAAGTGTTTCACCTAAGTGGATGAAATTGAACCACAAAAAAATAATTTTTAGCTATAAAACCAAAGCGATAAAATGATATATTTATAATATTTAACAATATCGTTACACATGACGCAAATGAAAATGTCAACCGCCACCAAATTAATACTTTATCAGCTGGTGTTTCCAAACCGAATTAGCTGCATAGAGATGTCTTGGATTTAAAATTCATACTGTTTCTTATATTACCTGCATCACTTTCGGCAAAATAGTCTTATCAAAGTGATCTTCAAGTGTAGGCTCAGCATAATCTCTTTTATATAAATTGTCTTCGTCATCCTATTAGGTAACGTTATGAATCTTGATTATGTTTTAAGTCTAGAATTCCATCTTATTGTTGTAGACTAATGCAGTTTTGATATATACTGTATACATAGAACTCGTATAGATGATTCTCTTACCATGAAAAAGGCACCTTTATGATAATACTTTTGCAAAAATTTGTATCTGCCCTTTGGTCCTTTATTAACTTGAAGTTTAGGATTCTTTAAAAATTCCAAACGACGTTCTTCGTCAGTCATATTGCGAATACGTTCAAGTTCTTGCTTTTCTTTTTCTCTTTGTTCTCTTTCATCTCTATCCTTTTTGATACGATTTAACTCTCTAACCTTCCATGCCTCATACTATGTGCCACATACAATAATTTAAATTACGTTAGAAATAGAGTTACAGTTATTTAAAAAAAGGTAATCCATAAACTGAGCTTACCTCTTCTTCGTCGTTATCATCGTCAGTATTCACGACATTTTCTATTTCTTCTTGTTTCTGTTCTTCCTTCAGTTCTTCTAAAACTACAGTATTAACGAGCCTTTTCGCTTCTTGACGTCTAAGTATGGCCTGCTGTTCTTCCTTTCGTGCTAACATTTCTTCTTCCTTTTCAATATCTCGCTGCGATTTAATGGTACCGCGATCGGATCTTCAGAACAAAAATATATGAATTTCTCAAGACAATTATGATAATGCAAATTAAGCTAAGTTTACGTACTTTCTGACAAATACGGGCTTTAATCTTGGACCGGTATCTTCTTCGGAGTCGGAGTATTCTTCGTATTCCGAGGACTATATAGCAAGGCTTAGTTTAAAAATGTGATAACGAAACCTGTGTATCGCTGTTAAGGAAAATAGTTGATAGTAACCTCATCTTCTTCTGCATCTTCTGATCGTCGTTCATCCTCTAATTCCAAAACATCATCCTATGATAATTAATGATCATGTTAAGATATAAGCTGATTGATATCATATTGGTAGAATATAGCAAGAACTACGGTCTCCTCGTATAGCTTATCTTGAATTAAAAATGATATCTTATAAATGTACCTCCTCCACTAATCTTTCTTTAGCTCTCTGTCTCATGAGTTCTCGTCTCCTTTCTATTTCCTATTGAAGCGTTCGAAGATGTAGTACTCTATAATATATGGAATTTTAAGTTATAAATGTAGAGGTATTGTTCTAAACCTACGTCTTCATCTAGATCTTCATCTGATTCCCTAAAAGCAGTGAATAAACCGTTATAATTGTAGATAGTTGAGAGTTGAATAAAAACTCTGTTTACATACTCGCTTTCGTCAACGAATCTACTGGCAACGTTAGCTGGTTCATCGTCTTCAATGTCCATCTTTATGATTAATTAAAAGAATCGAGATGAATATTTGTTGATTTTCACTTCATTAAAGACTAATTGAGGTATCATTGCATTACATCATCAGCAGAAGCTTCATCGTCACCATAACTGAGAATCTCAGGGCCAGTAACCTCTCTTCTCCTATAGTTTAGAGACGTTAAACGGTTTCGCATCAGTTTTTCTACCAGTCTGCTGTTTTAATTATCATACACTGGGCAAATCTGATAATGTATGAGTATTCTAAAAAGTGTGGTAGCTACTGCTTCTAATAATTAATAAGGGTCATATGGACATGCAATCTATGGATTAAGAGACACATACTGATAATGGCTGCAGTGTAACAATTCCTTTTTGATTTGACTTACCGTTCACCATCGTATCCTTCTCGTTGATGTTGTAATAAACGTTTCATTCGTCTATCCCTTGCTATATCTTCATCTAAATTCTAGTATATACCAGATTAATAGTAGATATGAGTAAGATAACGTTAAACTATTCTCTCGATTCATTGACTGAAATGTGATTAGATTTTCAGTAAAGTATCCTTTTAAACGAGCTAACACTAGACATGTGCTATTGAAAAGAGGTAATATTAGAAATTTACATATTCGTCGTTGAAGCGGTCTTCAGCTTCAATAAACTCATCTTCTTCTTCTACCTCCTCCTCGTCCGATTCTGGGGCATACAATGGTCTATAAAAAGAGCTATATTAGTGTATGCTTATGTATATTCACCGGAAGACAAAAAATTGCCTACCACTCAAAAGAGTAAAGTATACAGACTATATAGCGCTGTAGGAGAGCTATATTTACAAAAGCAACAAATAGTGCTACACGGATAAGCTACTACTAGGAGTAACGTGCACAGGATTAATCGGTTCGAATAAATTGAAGTTATCCTTTCTAGCCAATAGTATTTAATAATCATTGTAGGAATATCGATCGAATGGTGTCTTTTCAGGTTAATACTGGTAGCCTCCATTGACTTGATTATGAGATTAAGTCCACTACTGTAGATTTTGTTATACGTACAGTACTATGTTGTAGAACATTTGGAAATTAGCATTATGACTACTTTTAAGCCTGGTAACACAGCCTATTGAAATTGTTCTATTTCATCATTGTAACACTACAGTACAGCAAATTAACCATACAACCTTTTGCCAGTTACATAACGTTGAACTTTCACTTTTTGCATGGTGATTTCGCCTAAAAACCGAACATTGATTGAGAGGTAAGTCAATGATGATGAGTTTCCTCGACACATTATTGGCAGAATTAAGTTAAGCGATCCGATCGTATGAAAACAGTATATTCTAAGAATGTTGTACTATCTTATGCTGTAATATCCCATAATCGATTTCGCTAGGTTTAGCACTACCTTTCTCGTTCCTTATAGGAACGGCACCAGCAGTAGACTTGATTGGTACTGAAGTAGTTGTCGCCATCTTGATGCGCGTGGATTACCAAGGTATCACCGAGGTTTTCTTACTCTATGTCTACTATCCACTCAGTATGCCCTATACCTACACTCTTTCAGTATGGCGTACAGCGCATGTGCTACTCCTGTCTATAGTAACTGTAGTCCTGGTACTGTTCCGTGGTCGAACATTCAGTCCCTATACTGTAGCCACTTACAGCCTCGGAGGTACAGACTACAGTACAGACGGTACACGGGTTGGGCGTCGGACCGTCGGTACATGAACATCACGTGATTTTAAAGCCTCTGTCCTACTGGTGTTTGTTTTACAGGTCAACCATCGATTGCAGTCTCGCGCTTAGTTAATAATTAACTAATCCGTTTAATGGCGGTTGATGACAGGCTGCTAGGAGGAATATGTAAGTAGGAATAGATTTTGCAATAATGTTAGTAACAATGTGAGGATTTAGTTTCAGTGACATGATTACTTTCAATGATCTGTTTAATATCGGTCGATTTTAAGACAGATTCTACGTTGCCCTTAAATACTATACTATATTACAGTAGACACTACGTTTCCATGCGAGCGAGGAGGATTCGACTAGTATGGAATAGTTCATAAAATGGATATCTTATACATTTCTAGTCTGCTATAGTCGCAATAACAGTCGCAAATAACCGCAAGAGCCACTAGTTACAGCATTGACAGTAGATCTAGGATAGACGTTATTAGTTGTCGGGAGATGGACGCCGCTTTCAACCTATTTTGCCCTGATTATCTGCGGCCTTTCAGAACGATGATGATTAATTAATTAATTACTCTATTTCAATTTCAATCATATTCAGTTTAAGTACTGTACTTACAGTCAATATGTGTAGTAAATTGTGTTAAAATTGAGAAAATGTCGTCTATTTGCACGACTTCAGCGACGTTGTATAATAAGGGTACATTGTCCAGTAATAAATTAAGGACAACAACGTGGACGTCGGGTTTGATTAAGATTGTGGGTTAATTAGTCTAGCGCTGCGTGTTGTACATTTGGACAGTTTAGTACAGTATGGACGTGGAATTGTCCAATGACAAAGCTAATAACTGCTGATAATTATAAATAGATTATGAAGGACTTTAACCAACGGTGCTGGATATTCGGTATATTGAAAGTCTCCATACGATAGGATAGACACAGACAATAGACAGTTTCGTTATTAGATCGATGCGGATCTTTCATTCTCCATTTTCTGCTTCCTATGCACTTAAATAAATAAAGTAGAAAACTTTATTATATTCTTGACGTTACCGCAATAGAATCATTATGATTATAAGTAACAACACGATGTGTATAATATATTCAGTAGGATTTGGTACTTGAGAATAGTCTACAGCACTACACAATGATATTAGCAGCAGGCGGTAAGACTACACTACAATAACGTCTTGAAAGGCGAACTGACAGAATGTATGTTTGATAACGTATAAATATTTTATTTGTACGTATCAACCGTGTTGATTAGTTAGTTATACGGTAGAAGTAGCCAATAAAAATGTACAGTACATTACATAGATGCGTATACTGCATTAACTGCATGTGAAAAATGTATAACGAAAACGATCGTCATGCTTTTATTCAATATGATATTTATTAAGTGTGCATCATATTAAGTATTGAGCTCATAATCAATTAACCCAACTGCAATCTAATTATACCGACTACCAACTTGTACAGTATGTAGTAAGACAAAAAGTGCTTTATGATGAAGTCGTGACAATATCCCAAGAAAAGCTCATTATTATAATTTTGAATCATTAGCCAGTATTTATAATTGATTGCCAATTTATTTCAAGTAAGTCAATTTACGACCATCTTATAGCTTATTGTATCACTTACAATTGTACCTTGATTATACAAAATTAGAAGAAAATAGAAATGTTCTATTACTAATGAAATTAAAGTGACTATCAGCTATCTTAATGTCTAAGTTTTAAGTTTTAGTAATCAATAATTTTTATGTTCCGTCTTGATAGGTAAGGCTGATCAAGCTGCCGGCCAAAACGCTTGTACGGTAACATCGATAAGTGTGTAAATAGTGTCCGGTGGTTATTTATTATCCTTATACTGTATCTTATCGTCAATTTATGTAATTACATCAATAATTCTAGAAAATATCGCCGGCTAGGGTAATACTAATATACATACCATCTATTCAATGTCATGGCTATTCGGTCTCGATGCAGACAAATTGCATCTATTATTGCAGTTATTGGTATCATCATCTTGTCTTACTATTTCGTTAATGCATGCTATTATCAATGTTATACGAATAGATTACCGACAAATTTAATCAAGTACAATAACACCTATAACATACTATCTACTATAAATTTACTATCCTCTCTAAATTTGACATCATCCGGTAATAAAAATGGCGGTAACGTAACTATCCAATCGACAAGACTTAAATTTCTTAGACAACCGAACAATACTAATAAAGGCAATGAGCAAGTAAATGCCACCAGCGTAGCGACGAAGCTGCTTAATACGTCGAAATTAGCGACTAAAAGTTTAACAATATCTCCAAAATCGACCAAGAAACCAACAAAAGCAATACGCGTATTGCCAACACCAAAAATCATTCATACTGTTCGTGGCGATAAATATATCGACTCATTTGGTTTAATGTATTACGGTAACCGTACCAGTGCTAAACCTTGTCGCTTAAAGGCTTTTGTCCTGATGATGATTAATTCCAAACCGCAACATTTCCATCGACGTCGTGCTATAAGAAAAACTTGGGGTGATAGCTCGTTTTTTAGCCGTAGATGCAATCATCCTTATGCTTTACGAGTACTATTTGTTGTTGGTAGAACTGATAATTCTACTCTTGATGATTTGATCGAACAAGAATCAACTAAGAATGGTGATATGATATTAGCTGACTTTATCGATAATATGAAAAATTTAACGGAAAAGACTATTTTATCGATGGCTTGGTCTCTTAAATATTGTGATCCTGTTTACGTTTATAAAGGTGATGACGATGTCTTTGTCAATACTTTTTACCTATTTCAATTTTTACAATCTTATGCTAATGTCGGACGTGCTAAAAGATTTTGGGTTGGTCGTGTCAATCCATCGCTGTTAGTTCGACGTGTCGAACGTAATAACAGCAGTAAATATTATGTACCATATGAAGATTATCAAGATAAATATTTTCCAATTTTCCCATCTGGATTCTCTTACGTTATGTCGGGTGATGTAGTTCGTGGTTTACTCAAATTTGGTCCAAAAACAATGAAATTGAAAACTGTGGATGATGTCTACGTTGCTATTTTAGGTAAACAATTTGGTCTTACACCTAGAAATGATAGGCGATTTCATTTTTATGTTACTAATAATCCACGACGTCGATACAGTCTTATAATGGTTAGATCAAGATTTGCTGAGCATGGAATATTAAAAGAAGCACAACAAACAAATATGTATCATTTAGCTAAAGCTAGCATGAACCCTCGCTTTATTTGTCATCATTATCCTAAGCATGAGCTGCTACAACACGATTAGGACTAATATTTGTATAATGTATATGCGCAGTCATGTTAATTCTTGTTATAAAATTGAAAATTTAAAGTAATTTGATGATACGTTGAATGTAATCATAATAGTAGCATAATAATGAAATTTTCTAGCTCGTGTAATATGACTTCTAAACAAGTATATCAGTTATGGCTTCTCCATGCTAGCTGACTTGCTTATAGTGAGCGTAATTGGTCATTTCGAACATGAGTATTGATTTTTATTGATTCCTTATAAAACTACTGAGCACACTTGTTCCCTATTTTCTTCCCATTTTGGGTTTGAATGTAAATATTAGGTGAATTAATATTTGTATCAGATATTACGTATGTTAGAAATAACAAAGTAAACATTCTAACGGTTTATTTTATGCGTAGAGCTAATTTTTCCCGAAATGGTTATCTAATTTTGACCTCTAGGTATGCAGAGAGTATAATTTATCTTCATGCATCGGTGTTTCGGTACGGGCGTACAAAAATCTACGAAATGAAGCTTGCAGTTGAAATTTTAGATAGCAAAATTATGAAAAATACTACAAACCAATTTAGAATTAAGGGACTATTATGGTTTCTTGATATCGTGTCAGATTTTATAAAAATCTTGTCACAATTGATTGCAAATGTTCACATGAAATTAATATTATTTTTAAGTTATTTTATTGTTCTTTAAATTTCGTCAGATAAGGAAATACAATAAAGGCAATTTCCAGATACTTCATTGAGCATGATTGGTCTCATTATTTCAATATACTATATGCTAGCAAATCAGTCAAATTTAGTAACATTTACAAATCGTCGTAAAGCAGTTTTATATCATGAATTATTACTTAAATAGTCTCATTCGAGAAGTTTTACATTAACAAAGCGAATATTCGTTACATGCATTGAAAAATTAAATAATTTTTATCATAATATAATAACTCGTTTTGCTAGTAATAGCATTTCAATGATATTATAAATTAAGTCAACTCGTGGATAAAAAAATATAATCATTTAACAAGTGAAAGTTGTGATAGCCTTCTGTATCAATATGTGTCGAATTTGTTAAGCGAGTCTTACCGAAATATATTAAAAACTACTAGCAGAATAGCTGTCGACATAAAATTGATTTTTAATTTATTATACAATTGCATTGGATTTGGTAAAAGTGGATATTTGTTGCTAAAATACTTAATAAATTATTGAACATTAATGCCATGAAAGTAGTTAAGATTCAGGGAGAAGATCTTTGGCAATTTGACCATCTCCTTTTTTCTTGTCGAGCCACTGCTTACACGGAAATATAATAGTTTCATTACTGTCTACGTTATGAACTTCAACTCTATCAAGTAACCAGCTTGCACCCCATCCTTTATTATCATGTTCAATGTGAAGCTTCGTTAGTTTACCAAGATCTAATGCTTCAATAGTAAACTTATCGTGTTGATTTCTTTCAAATAAGTTAACAAATTTCTTCTTTAGTGGTCGTGGACCAGTATCGCCATTATCTCCGTATAATATTACAGATACATTGGCATCAGTTCCAGCTCCTTTTTCATCGCCAGTCACAACCGTTACTTCGTATTTAACAGGTTTCAGTTCTATAAAAAAAATTAAATAATTATAATTATTAAAATAACCATGAAGATGTCAGGTACTTCCTACTGTAGTGTAGACATATTTATTCTTTTATAAGGTACTTACCAACAGGTTTTGCCTTCGATGAAGCTGCTACATCAGCAGATTTACACTTTAATGTTACAGAGGAATTGTTTTCCTCATCGTCATCAAGATCTATCCATTTATTACAAGGGAACTTGTACCTATAGATGTATTGAAGAAGGATTAGTAATACCGTATCTAGTAAACTACTGAACTAATAGTAGGCACTATGAGTTATAATCCAATTAGACGAAATACTAAGTTTCTTATTATTATTATTATAATTTCCATTAGTTATTATCTTACGTTGTTCCGCTTGCTTTATGGACAACAGTAACTACTTTTAAGTACCACGATGAGTTTTTAGAATCAGGCTCTTCACCAATTGCACTTTCACGATGTGACACAATGGCCTTGGTGATATCACCAAGAGGCTTACAGGTATAAGTAAATTTATTTGTTTTGCCTTTGCTGAAGTATTTTTTATCTTCATTGTTTTCAATTAAGAATTCTCTTGACTTTTCGCTTTTCCCTTTCAGTACAATGGCTACATCTTGATTTGTTCCAGCTCTTTTTTCAGTGCCAGTTGTAAATGCAATTTCGTATTCTTTTCAATAAAAAATAATGATCTTGTTAGCGTATATTCTACATTGATTGATTAATTCAGTCAAATAAATACTTGTAACATAAAATTCAAGCTGTAATTATTACCTGCTTTTCCAGATTTACTCTCTTGCTTAGTAGCTTTAGATGCAGCAGTATTTCCTGCTGTTTCCGCACATGGAAGTTCACGGAGAATCAATTTATCGCCATTGCTCTTTGAGAGCCATTTATCGCATGGGAATGTATATTTAACGCCTGTACTTTCATCAACTATGTCTACTGAGGCCAAGTGCCAGCTTGCACCAAATCCTACAATAATGTCAAGGACAATAAATGAAAGTTACATATATTAAAGAACTAGTTAATAAAGAAAAATTTCTAAAATTCATTAGTTATAGAAAGTGATACTAATCGTTAATCTATGTGGAATAAGCAGTTGATATATTGCAAATGAAAAATTTAATATCCTATACTTATTGATATAATAAATTAAAATAGTTTCTTAGCAGCATACCTGCGTTGTCATGCCAGATGCGAAGCTTTTGTAATCGTCCTAAGCTTAAGCGATCATTAATAAGGAAAACATCGGTTTGACCTTTTTCAAATTTATTCCAATTGGTTTCTGATTTTTTCAAGGCAATTTCTCCAGAGTCGCCATTTTCACCAAATATGATAACAAATACATTGGCATCGGTACCCGATCCGCGCTTATCCGAGGTATGTGTGGATAAAACATAGTTGATCTCTATGTTTAGTTATAAAATATTTATATGTTGAGGGTTAATATTCAAGGCAGACGTTTAACATAGTGTAACTTTTAAAGTTCCCATATATATACGTTAAGGTAATCGTAATATTTTTTAGGACTACTTAAAATTGGTATATTATTATCACATAAAGGTCAGTAAATCAATTGCATTAAACATTCTGGCTGAAGCTTACTCTTAATTGTTGTAGCACCCTCTTTACTTGTTTCTGCTGGAATTTCACGGACTAATTTTTTATCGTCAATTTTCTTGGAGAACCACTGATTAGCCCTGAACATATACATATCTAAAGTATCCATTCTTTGGATTGATGCCTGTAAAAGGGTGATTAGAACAAGAAATTAATAATGTAAACGTTTTAGCGGAATAACATTTAGATAGCAATAATCAATACCGTATTGCCCTTGAATCATACGATCATAAACAATTTTCTAACCTTTTCTAGATACCAGTCTGTTCTACTTCCTTTACCATCATGACCAATTCTGATCTTTTTAATAGTGCCTACATCGTCTAATTCCAGCTATTTAAAAGAATATAATAAAATTAATCAAAAAGGAATCAATACTTGAATAGTCTATAAAGAGCTTCATAATAGTTAAAATTTGATTGCAATAGACAGCCATTTAGGTGGTATATGATACTAGATATTATATTTTGTAGCCATCAATTCAAAGAATATAACATGAATGTGATCGTAAACTGATTAATTATTGCGATCATACCGGAATAATATCGACTTTGGCTCTTTCAAATCGATCTTCATTCTTCTCTAAAGATATTTCAGGTGTTCTGCCTTTTGTTCCGAATAGAATAACGAATATATTGGAATCTGTTCCAGCATTTTGCACGTCGCCAGTATGGATGGTTAACTCATAAGGTTTTACTAGTTCATGATTGAATAGGAAAAGTAGTAAATGAGAAAAATTTGCTTATTATTTAATCTGTTATCACATTAGTTACTGCTTAGTTAATTATTTTTAAGCTACTATTAACGATGCCATAGCAGACTTACGCGCTGTGTAGGAAGTTACTTGAGCATTGGCTGCGGTGAAGATGCGTGAAGTCTTACTATCATCTTTATCTTTCGCTAGCCAACGATTACAAGGAAAGATATACTTATTTCCAATGGTTGGTACATCAACTTCAATTTCTTTCAGGTAGATACCAGAGTCTGGCATATAACTATTATGGCTAACCTAATAAATTTCAAGGTTTCACGAAGATCAATAACCATATCATTCAAGCCGATCTTTTATCAACAATCAACCCGCTACTACTTACTTGAATTTTCTCAATGATATTTACTTCAGCGGCACTAACGTAAAAGGTAGTAATTTTTCCAGGGTAGAAAGTTTTATCACTTTTCTTTTCAGGCGAGAGTTCGATAGGCCCTGACTTTTCTTCCTCAATTTGACCAAAAAGTTCAAGATGGAGTGTTTCTTGAAAGTTTTTGCTCGACTCTTCACCCACAGTGACTTTAATGTTATACGGAACACCTGAATGTTGAAATTTAAGTTGAAATTGTTAGAGAAACCTTCATATACTGTCTAACTGAATTTGGAAATAAATAATCCAGTAGTTCAAACAGTTACATTTTTCATCGATTGGAGCCATGACTGGTCCTTTCCTTGAACTAGCGCGGCGTCCACTGGCTGATACCATTTCACCAAGGTCAGTAGAATTACTTCGAAAGGACGCTAAAAATAGCAATAACGTTGCTTTTAATTAAAGATTTCCAAGACTATTCCGCTACGCTACATTAATCTGAATGGAAATAAATCCTCTTTCATATTCTCGTCTGCAATACTAATTTAATTGTTACCTTTGCTCCGTGTTGTAGCAACACTAGACGTATCGCCTTCCCAACCTTTAACAAATAATGTACGGTCAATTTTACCATCATCTTTCTTCTTAGCTAGCCATCTTTCACAAGGGAATGCTGTCGTTTCCTCGTTTTCATCATCAACTATTTCAATACGATTAAGGAACCAAGCAGGACTAAAGAGACTACCCGTATTGTCGTGGCGAATTTTAACCTTAAACAGTCTACCAAGATCAGCAGCTTCGATATGAAAGATATCCTCCTAAAATAGCATCATACGAAAGAACAGATATTAATTACAATATGATTCATAAGAGAAGGAAATTAATTTCGTTATTCTCAATAAATATTTCCCTTTAGTATCAATAATAAATATTTTAAATTATTCTATACGAATATATCTCTATTTTTTGCTCGTCGCCTTTGATATGATCAAAATATTGTATTTGGCAGTATACACGTATACTACCCTGATGACTTAGTAAAAAGATGTAAATCATGAAATCAATAGTTGATGATGGACTTCTTAATGATAGATATCAAGATATTCTAGGATTTATGCCATGCAGTAAGTGTATTATCATGTCATAAACAGTAATTTTTGATATTTTTCAATCTTTTAGTCTATTACGACGTACTTGATTACGTTCGAATTTGTCGTAATGAGTGTCTGATTTGGCTAATTTACGTTCACCAGAATCGCCACTTTCACCAAATATTGTCAGGAATACATTAGCGTTGGTACCTGCTCCATCCACATCCCCAGTAAAGACATGGATAGTATACGGCTTAACTATAAAAAAATAAAGGCAGTAGAAAGTAAGAAAAGGAATAAAGGTTGTGTAAGATTTAAGAGGGAAGGTATACTTTGGAGGGGGGGGGGGGTACCTTTTAGCCCATCGGTAGGTTTAGTAACTTTGGTCTTTACTTGGCCTCCGTCTTTTGAACTTTTCTCTACAATTTCCGAAGGAACTAATTCACGAACTATAGCGCCATCATCCTCATCGGATGCTAACCATCGATTACATTGGAATGTAAATTTTTTCGATGCTTTTCCACCGTCCAGCAATCGACATATTTCTACTTTATCCAGATGCCATCCAGCTCCCCAACCTTTACCATCATGGCCAATTCTCAGTTTGGTAATCTCTTCACCGACATCATCAAGCTAAGCAAAGTGCCAATGCAATAAGATTAACAACTTAGGTTCAATGGCTAATGTTGAGCATAACAATACTACAAATTGTTACTCATGTAAAATTGACAAAGTAAATTTCTCGATGAAGAGAGTGCATAGGCATAAGATTATTCTATTTCCATGCTATTACCTCCAAGACAAATTTATCAATGGCACCGTTCTTGAAATATTGTTTCCGCCTCTTTTTGTCAGGCTCTAAGCTAGCTTGCTCAGTTTGATTTTCTTCGCCATAAATGACAACATAAACATTGGCTCCAGTACTTGCGCCACGTTTATCGGTTGTATAAACCGTTACTTCATAGGGGATATCTAAATTTTATTGAGGATAGACATAATTTCCATTAATTACCAATCAATAGTAAAGAATCTTTATATCTAACTAAGGAACTATAACATATTTTGAAAAATCTACTAGAATCATTAATTTTCACTCTCGTTAGCTAGCTAGCTAGTTAACCGCCGTAGATCCTATCGTTACTCTGATTTTATTCTTCAATTACTTTCAATTCATGATCAACTTACGCGGCCGATAAGTTTCTTCGGCTTCATTTAACGGATAAAGCTCTCGTTCCAAAGCTCCATCGTCTTTGCCTTTATCTATCCATCTACCGCAAGGGAAAAGTAATCGACGTCCTAGTGAGGGAATATCGATCTCTACTTTATTCAAGAACCAACCAGCCATTCCACCTTTATTGTCATGTCCAATTCTAATGTTAAAGGAAAAGGAGTATAGCAATAAGATCAACTTTAGCAGTTACATCCCATCAGGATAAATGTGAGAAATGACTACCAAAAGCATAACTTTGCTTTATGTATTATGACTCACTTGATTTTTTTAAGCTCTCCAATATCGATTGCTTCAACAACAAATCTATCCTCTTGATTTCTTTCAAATTTATTGGAGTGAGTTGTGGAGTTTTTCAGGTGGATAAGGCCTAAATTATAATAAATTAAGATTGGAAAGTGAATCATCCGAAAAGGCAGATCTTGACTAAAATAAATTGAGTGAATCATTTTAAGTATTAGCTCTAGTAACAAAGAAATTCTCTGTAGTGTATATTAATGTCTAGAAAAGTTACATTATTGAGAATAGAGATTCAATGAATATTATTCTCTTTACGATATTTCAAGTTCTAGCAATGAAATGATGAACCGTACGAGATAGAAAAGATAAGTATGGAAGATTACCTGTGTCATCTTTTTCGCCGTATAAAACTATGTGGACATTAGCATCGGTTCCAGCTCCTTTAATATCACCAGTAGTCACAGAGACATTATAGGTTGTGCTAGCAACTGAGATGAAAAATATTAAAATAGAAAATTAGCAAATAGTTTCAATTCGATTAACTAAATTGGCAGTCCCGTGGTGTGTTGCTAGGACGAAATATTATTAGACATTAATGGCTATTCATATTACCTTTCTTTTGCAAATCTTTAGATGCACCTATGGCTTCTGCCCTACTTTGTTCGTCACTTTGTGGTAATAACTCTCGAGATATTTGACCATCGTCTTCATCTTTAGCTAGCCATCGATCGCACATGAATTGATATTTGGATTCTCCAACTTCAATAATAACTTTATCCAAGAACCATGCCGGCCTAAAACCTGAGTTATCATGTCTAATTTTGATTTTCTTCAGTTCGCCCAGGCTGAGGCAGCTAATCTTAAAAACGTCCTCCTGTTGAATAAAAGTAGAATTTCTTCTTGAACATGCAGTCATATAAGTAAGCGATGTTAACTTGTATTTTTTCGCTTCAATTGGTGATGATAAACTATTTAATATCTCCTACTTTGTTCTATGATAAAATATTTAGCTGTCGAACAGAATATTCTTTTGCTAATACTAATTTCTGACCTGATTGCGTTCAAATTTATCAGTATGGGTTTCTGATTTTTTCAGCTGTCTTTCACCAGAATCGCCTTCTTCCCCGTACATATTTATGAAGACATTAGCATTGGTTCCACATCCAAATTTATTGCCAGTGATAACACGAATAGTATAAGTCATTTCTAAAAAGTTCAAAATCCGATAGAATATAGGCTGAGTCAACATCACATACAAAGTAAGACTAAAGCTAAGTTAAGGCTTCAAATGGGACACTATCAATCTTTTTATTTATGTAGATTGCCAGTAGAAATATCCTAATCAATACCTGCTAGCGCTCCATCGACTCCAACGGGGGATATTTCAATAACTGTTTGACGATCTCCTTCTTCTTTTGATAGCCAACGATTAGCAACAAATAAATAGTTATTTTCGTCTAATTTTTCCGGTTCGTCAGCGTCTTTCTTTGCCGTTTCCTCTTCTCTTTCATCGGTTTCTTTGCTTTTTTTACCACTTTTCGGTGGTAATCGACGTACGTAGACCTGAAATTTATGATCAACTGATTATAAGTACGGTATTTTTCTATTGTAGAATTGTTACCAATCGATATCAATCCAATGTAAATTGTTATGGCCTTAAAATACAATTTTCATTCACTAGTCCATTTTCTATATAGTATTGGAATATTTATATCGTTTGAGCAGTTATTACTGAATTATGCAACGAATTTAGAGCTCGTTTATTAAGCACAAGACGAACATTTATGTAGATAGAATATCAAGTCCATAATATCTTTAAAATAAATGCTAGCTCCTTTATAATTTTCTGTCATTTGTAATCGTAATATTTATTGAAGTTATGCGATATTAAAGCTTATTAATAACACCGATAGTATTACCTTGTCAAGAAACCATGCCGATCCCATACCTGCGCTATCATGACCAATGCGAAGTTTTCTTAATTTACCAACATCTTCACATTCGACCTATAGGAGTCATACGCAAAATCTTCCATTTAATTGATGAAATTTTAACCGACAATATTATGAACTTGAAAACTTTACCTTAAATACATCGACTTGTCCACGTTCAAAGTTATCGGATTTATTCCTTAACTTTAATTCTTCGGTCTTACCGTTTTCACCATAGATGACTGCGAATACATTAGAATCCGTACCGGCATGGCGGATATCGCCGGTGTGAACGGAAATTTGATAAGGAATTTCTAGGTGAAAGAAGTTAATATGGTAACAGTAGGTATCGAGTTCATGATTAGAATATCAGATATCTTGTTTAGTGATTGAAATTTTGAAATCAAGTTTATCATTGAACGAATACCGATCTTATAAATTGGATCTATTTCAGTATTGTATCACTTACTTGCTGCCGATTTGATACATTCGCTTGGATATAACTCCCTCTCAACTTTTCGATCTCCTTCAGTACTATCAAACCATTGATGGCAAGAAAAACGATATAATCGACCCACTGATGGAACATCAAGTTCTATGTAATCTAAGAACCAACCACTTCCTAGACCTTTACCGTCATGGCCAATTATTATTTTCTCAATCTATTGATGGCAACAGCAGCATAGATGAATACGTTATAAATGTTATATTGGCATTAAGAATGAACTTATATCGCTCCTTAAGATATTCCGCTATATTATCTTTAAAATTATGCTATAGATCAGTATGACTGTGAAAAAAATCTTGGAACTTTGACAAATTTAATTCGATTTGAATAAGTGAATTAGAAGTGATATTTTATCACAAGTTCACTACTACACCTTTCAATAAGATTTCATCTCACAACCTAATGTTATCCTTATATCATCTTTTACTTTTAAGGTACTAGATATCGGTTTATGGTACTTTCTAGCCAAAATTGCTATAGTATTTACCTTGCCAATTTGTGCTGCTTCTATAATAAATTTATCAATACGGTTTCTTTCAAATTTATTGCTTGTATTAAGCGATTGCTTAAGACGAACGCGACCAGTATCATCTTTAGCACCGAAGATTTGTATGAAAACATTGGCATCGGTTCCAGCATTGCGAACATCTCCCGTCTTAACGGAAATGTGATATGAGGTTGCTGTATAGGATAGAAAAGGTTGCAAGTAATTATAACCAATTCTGCGATCAAATACAAGATTAAATCTGGACTTATTTTCCATCTTCCGCCAACTTACTTTTCAGAAGTGGAGTATCACTTTTTAAGAATAATTCCCGGACTATTTGACCATCATCCTCACTCTTAGACAGCCATCTATAATGTATAGGATAAAATGATTTTATCTAGTTCTTATTGATATTGCTCTTTCTAAGGTTAGTAAACATGTCGTTATTTCATACATACCGATTGCAAGGAAATTCATTGGATGCTTCTCCGTTGAGCTCTTTGATCACTACTTTATCCAGAAACCAACCAGCTCCTATTTCAAGGTTGAGCGTAAATATGATTAGGAAAAACATTTTTTTCGAAGTAAATAGATCTCTTTCTCAATAATATTAGAGAAAAGCGATAGTGAAAATGTAATTTTTAGTATGCCTATGTGTGACATTTTGGATGGAAGAATATCAGATCAATCTTTCTCTTGTAAGTATTCGATATCACTATAATTTAAGATATTCTTTTACCGGGATTATTGCCATCGTGGCCAATCTTTATTTTCTTCAATGCCTTTAATGTTACAGCCTCAATATGAAAGACATCAACTTGATTTCTTTCAAATTTATTATTATGGCTTTTGGAAGACTTTAAAGGGCGATATCCAGAATCGCCTAATTCGCCATAAATCTTGATGAATACGTTAGCATCTGTTCCACCGCCCATTTTATTACCGGTATGGACAGATACTTCGTAAATGACAACTATGACAAAAATTAAAGATATTTTTAGAGCTATGATCAAAAGCATAGTCGATAATGTAAGCAGTACATTTAAACACAATTGAGCATTTCAAGGTGGATTCCATAATTACTCACTTGGATAATTCGGGCAATTTGGACCTGAAGCTGGCAACTCTCGTATTATTTCGTTGTCCTCTTCACTTCTCGATAGCCATCGATTACAGTTGAACAAGTACTGTTCTTTGTCATTCATATTTTCTAATTTAACCTTGTCTAAATGCCATCCTGGAAAGGCATTACTATTATCATGGCCAATTCTTAGCTTATAGGGAACGCCAACCTGATCGATTTCAAGCTAGTATTTGGACGTAATCAAATAGTATTTAGTTCATCGTACAGCGTTGCTTTATAGGCATAACTTACGCGATAATTCATATGTGTATAAATACTTGCTTCTTACCTTAAATTTATCTAATGTGGCTTGTTCAAAGTTATCAGTGTTATTTCCGAGTTTGATTTCTTGACTTTTCCCTTTATCGCCATAGATTTGCATAGATACATTAGCATCAGTGCCAGCACCTCGTATATCGCTGGTCCAAATCCAAGCGAACCAAAGTTGTTCTATAAATAGGCGATAAAAGTCATTAGAATTTTACTGGTTATGTAGTATCTTAAAGATTAACTAAGTATTTCAATAATAGCCAATTTTGACATTCTAGACTATCAACAAGCGGAATAATTAAAGGGTATATACAACAGTAACAAAATTTTAAATTCATAGATAATCACTTTTTAGCAAAATTAAACTTTTTAAGATTGATTGTGATTGGTGTTATATACCGTAAGTATTTAATTAAAGGTAATATCCTATGATCTAAGGCACAGGAAAGTAATCACTTTTAAACTTGTTGAGTATATAATAGTATAAACACTTCGATATTATAACTATGAATTACTCAAATTAATAATATGTTAATAAAATAACTTACTCGGCCGCCTTGTTTTCCTCATATCGAAAGCTTCAACTAATTCTCTCTCTGTTAATCCATCACCAGCTTTCCTATCCAACCATTGTTGGCATAAAAATGTTTGCTCAATTCCAGTGGTTGGGCAATCGATTACGATCTAAGTTTCCAAATGGAAAGACAGAGCGTTAATATCAAGACAGCTCTATACAAATATAACATTGCCTTGATAATCATATTATAAGCAGCAAAACGGTATTTTATATTTATATGCAATAAATGTTTAACGGAATGTAAATTAGTGAATACTGCCTTTACCCTATCTAAATGCCATCCAGCTGCTAAACCTTTATTATCATGGCCAACTGTTAGCTTAGTTAGTGGTGATAACATTTCAGCGCATTCCATATGGAAGATATCCGTCATTGCGCGTTCAAAAGTATTCTTTTTCTTTTCTGAATTCGCCAAGACTAATTTACCACTATTTAGCTCTTTACTTTTTTTACCTTCTCCGTGCATAACAACATAGACTTCGGCATCCGTACCGGCATTTTTGACATCACTTGTTGTAACATGAATATGGTAAGGATAGCCTGTGAAGCATCAAAAAAATGATAAGATGAATTCTTGAGCTAAAGAAATGACATTTTTTATTTTACTAAATCAAAGTAAAGTTGCTATAACATGTACTAATAGCAATACGAAAATGGACTAGGCTATGGAAACAGACTTCAATAGCAGTACAGTATATGGTTTGAAAAACTTTTCAATGCAATTATATGTTTTACTACTATTACCTTTAGGAGCAACAGAATCATCTCCATCATCTCCACTTGCAGATACGATTAGATCTCGACAAATTTCTCCGTCGTCTTCTGTTTTTGATAACCATCGTCGACAGTAAAATGTATAAGATTGCTGTTCTTGTGGATCTTCGACTACAACCTATTTGACCGATGAAAAGGTTATTCAAGAATCGTGCATGTAAGTTAGTATCTTCGGATCTTTTTATTACTAAGTGTGCTTTAATAGCATACAAGTTAATATAATTTTCCGTACTTTATTTTTTTACTTTGGAATATATCAATATGACAGGTTTGAAGATAGTCATTACTAATTTGCCCGTAATTGCTTAATTTCTTTCAAAGTACTAACCTTGTCTAGATACCAACCAGCAAAGAGACCAGTATTATCATGGCGAATACGCAATCTTTCCAATTTTCCAACACAAGAACAACTCAATTTAAAGGTATCTTTTCTGTAACACATAAATAAAGGCATATACGTATATTAGATATTAAATACGGTACAAAATGACGTTTGCTGTGATTATATTATAATAGTTTATAGTGCAATTACGACGTGGAAATAATTAGTTATACAAGAATGTACAACCTTGATTTCTCAAAATTATTCTTAGAGTTATCCAATCTTTTTTCTCCAGTATCGCCACTATCTCCAAAGATGACTGCATATACATTTGCATCGGTTCCAGCACCTCTTTTATTTCCAGTAAAGGTATGAACAATGTAGACATAGGCTATAATATAGAGGCAAAGAGATAAAGATGGATTAATGACAGATGAGTAAGAAATCTTAATTCATATCCAATTGATTTTATTGATCCACGACCATAATGTGTAGCTCATGATTTACCTGAGGGTGCGGCATTTGGATCTGTATAAGCGGTTAGATCACGGCTGATTGATTTATCGCCAACGTCTTTGGCTAACCATTGGTTACAGGGACAATAATATTTAACATTTGGCTTTTCTAAGTTGCATATGATAACCTAGTTTGATAATTGCAATAATTTTAGTTTTATTTTTAGTTCGATTTACGATATGTCTTATCGTTTATACAGAAATTTATTTTAGCTTTTGCCGTTATTAGACGCTAAGTATGAAATAAGGGCTCTGAGTAAGTAAAAAATCGTAGTCCTGATGAAATTGTAAAGAAGTGTATTGCTTGATTGCTGTTCGTTATACTGACAATCTTAGTATCATCCTGTTTATACTTAAAAGTAAAATCTGCCACTATCTTTTTAGGTATATAAAATTGATTAAATCTACATTGCACAATTTGAAAGATTTTTCTACCGACCTTGTCAAGAAACCATCCTGGTCCAAAACCAGCATTATCATGTTCAATTCTATATATCAATATAAATTTAATGTACAAGTCAATCAATATCACATTAGTGTTAAAGTGCACGCCTGTTTGTGATTTACATCATCTAGAAGTAAAATACGATATACCAAATTTGAATATTTGGAACTGTTAAAACCTATCAACCTTACCTTATCTTGCTTAATTTACCGACATCTCGAGTTCGAATTTTAAATTCGTCGGTATTATTGCGTTCGAATGGATTCTTATGTTTACTACTGTAATAGTCAAGATACAGCAAGTTAATATGTAGCGATAATTTAATTTATAATTATTAAATTAATAGAGATATGCTTATAATATAGAAGTGGACAGTAAATAAGTTTATTCTTATTAATACCTTTTCAATAGCTGAATCTTTGGCGAACTGGTATGTTTGCCAAATAGCGTTACGGATACATTGGCATCTGTCCCAGCTCCTCTTTTATCGCCGGTCAGAACGCTTACTTCATATACTGAAATTAATGAATATACTATAAGTTCAAAGCCATAAATACTGAAACTAGCTCTTTACAAATATGTTTAAGATCGGTAAGAGTATGGGGTACAGTGAATAAGAAGTGCTTACCAGCTTTGCCGGCCTTAGCTAAAGGCTTTAATTCGTAACATAATTTGCGGTCACCTTCATACTTTGATAACCATTTATGACAAGGAAATAACCATGATTTTTTACTTTGAATGTTAGTTAACGTTATTTCTTCAAGAAACCATCCATGTCGTTTCTCATTACCGTCGTGCTACAATATGTTTGTTTAGCAAAACATAGGATTTATGACTATTTTAGTTTTAATATAAATATCTACTATGAATTTCCTGATTGTAAATACGTATAAACATAAATTCATTAACGGTCGTGAGTATTGACTGAGAGCATATCATACTGTTATTTAGGTTACCTCAACGATTAATTTTACTGGATCACCAATGTCTCGATGTTGAACAGCAAATTTTTCAACTGTGCTTTTATCAAATTTAAAGAGATTTCCTCTTTCAGTTTTTTCAGTTTCTTGCTTCTTAAATAATCGTTTTTTAGGAATTTTATCTTTTGTTCCAATAACTTGGATGTAAACCTTAATGCAATCAGTTAATATGAATGGTTTTAGAAGCATTGAACCTATAAAAACTTTATGAAACCATCGTGGTTACAAGCTAGAATTAAAGTCAGTACCTTAGCATCAGTGTCTGATCCTTTCTTGTCTCCCGTTTTAACGCCGAACTGGTAAGCAACACCAGCTAATAAAAATATAAAAGTAATCAGAAAACACTATCGGCAACGATATTTGAAGATATCGAATTAATAGATATCACGAATCCTGTATCGTTTATTGATAACATAATATAAGTATACTAGTACAATTTACCTTGCTTGCGGTTTTTTCGAGATTCCTAAATATTAGAGTAAAAGTTTGCAATTAGATTTAAGTTATAACTATATCTTTGAATTAAAAGTATTAATTTAAGCCTATAGATATTATCTCTCTAAAATGCATTTTAACTTGATAAAAGTATCTAATATTGCATTAGAATATGATTCATAGCTTAAAATGTGCTAAACTAGCTGTCAGTTAATGCTCGTATTAAGTAAATAGTAAGGTATAGTAAGTAACTCTCTTAGTTAATCTCTTGATTGGTATTATTAAGCATATAATAAAGGATATCAATAGCCATATACTTACGTCTCGGCTATTTAGCAAACCAAATTTGCGAGCATAATAATCATTCAGATGTGGATCACACAGTGGGTTATATATTGGTATAATTTCTTTTTGCTGGCCTTTATTCAATGCGTTACTATAGGTTCTAGCTGCGGTAGCCATTGCTGTAGTGTAGGCTCTATTTGCATATGGAGCATTGCGGCTTATACTGGAAATATCCTTCTTATGATTTAATGTCACAATAAATTTTCTCCTTTTTAAATTGGGTTCATTGTAAGTTGATGACCGCCATAGTTTTGGAGCTTTCGAAGCCGTTGTGATTTGACGCCCTGGGGCTATCAGCACGTAAGAGAATATTAAATACTGTTGATGAATATATCTAAGGCTGATTTAAACGCGAATGATTTTGGATAAAGTTATTAATCATAGTATTTATACTAGTAACATCTATGAAATAGAAATGATGCATTGGATAGGCATCTTGAGATAACAATCAAGTTTTCATGAAGTTGATACGTTAGCTATGGAATGTAATCCTTGAAGAGGGTCAAGATTTGTAAGCAAATTTAATCTTGATGATTACTTGTATTTACTATTCAGATTTCGATGGGACTGATTTAATATCGCTAAGTAATTTAAAAAGCTAAATAGTTATCCTCGCATAAACTACTGTATAAAGGGAGTATGTAGATGGACGAACATTTCAAAGTTAACGTATGTATTCTGTGGTTATACGTTTCTGTATAGCGAAATATGATGATAAGTATTCTTAAGATACACACCGTATTGGGCAAGCCTCGATATTTATATAGAGTAGTTGTACGATTCTATATAAATCAATTAGTATATGGTACTACTTAAATGTAATGATGTAATTAACAAAATAGAAAATAGATAATTTTGGTTAACGCCGTAATTATATTGGACATAAACAAGACTTAGGATTGTCCTTTACTGCATCAATAGCACAGAGAAATATGTGAACTGAGCAAACTATACGTGTCTAGACATTATATGTTCGATGCTTTCAAGGAATTTCTCGTTTTTCATACCTGTCTGAGGTCTTTTCCTGTTGATTTTGCTTCTACCTGGTGGAGGTTTTGGAGCAAAATGTCCCGATGGATCAGACATTAATTCTTGCATAGCCAATGATGCTGACATAGTCGTATCTTTTACTTTTGTGTCTTTTGGCTAGAATTATAATTGGACTAGTTTATAAATTAATGAATAAAATTCAAGTTTTAATGTATTGTAGCTACGTAATGTTATGGCCGTCAGATTACTGATTGTTATAACTTAGTAAGGCAACAACAATTCATTTTCCAATGGTAGTGGGACAGAATATTCTTGCTAGTTTAATTTCAGAACGGCTATAATGACTGCAGCAGGCGCTGTCGTTTGAATAACTCTGATATGTACGTTGATTACCTCTCAATGTTACCTATATAAGCCTCTATACTGTACTATTGCCCTATTGTGATGATACTAGTACAAATACTTTACGTAGTAGAACTTGAAGGAGTGTATGAAAGTATGATTGGATTATATGCGTATACTGCACTGTTGATGTAGAATAACCGGTACTCGTATTGTAATGCTATCACGTAAGCTGGCATACAAGGTTGTAGACAATACTATTAGTCCATAGGATTTCATTATTAACACTCAGTAGTTTCAATGTTAATACTACTTATTTAATTGATGCATAGCAAGAAGGTACGGAAATTTTTTTGAAATCTATTAAGATCGTTGATTGTTTTGCCGTTGCATGGAAACGGGCATACCGCAAATATGAAAAGTTAGCACCTGCGCAGATGATTGTCAGCCGGACGGAAAACGGTTGCATCACCTCTTTCAGCATGGACTACAGAAACTGTACTGACGGACTACTTTTAGTAAAGAACTTGCAGAAAGTTGCATTTGACGGAATTTTCTTCGTTTCAAATGTTCTCCTCCTGCCCTTGAGCTCACAATTTTCTCTTATAACCCAAGTCAGATGCTATTAAAAGATCGTTGGCTGTTTCTGTCTTTCCCTTTTAGTAGTCCTTGGTTCACTGGCCGAATTGACGGCTTGAGATATGAGCTAGAGCAACGGATACCATATCTCAAGGCGTTGGACAGTACCTGTTGCCTTAATTACAATTTTAGCTGTATCGTCTTTAAAATGACTAATGTTGTGCTTATTAGACAGTACTTTCTATACAATATTAATGTTTGGAGCCCTGGATTGGAGAAGCGCTTTATTTTCAGCTTCTTTGAACGGATCGCTTCTACAATCCATGACTAGAGGACTTGCTCAACCTTATATCGAACTAATATCGACTAGATCACTTGTGACATGGACTACTACAAGAAACCGCCAGTAGTATAGTTATGGGTGACGGCAGTCGATTGTAGCTATCCAAATTGGGGGCATTGACAGTAGTCAAAAAGTTGCTCAAAATTGACTGAAAATGACTACCAAAATAGTATTGGAGAAAATAACTACAAAATAGTACCACCATGAAATGTACAGCTTGGAGCAGATGAATTAAAATTAGTCAAGATATTTATTTTCTGTTCCTGTTTATGAGTTGATCATTTCAGGCATGGGCTATGAATAATCTTGAAAGCTTGCATCTCGAGCCGGAAATGGCTATGATAACTTGTATTTATCGGCTGTACTGCTGTAGTAAACTGGAAAAAGTATTCCACTCTGAACAGAGAAAATTAGCTTGATATCTGCCAACTTAGCAGATAGTGAATGCTGAAACTTACCGCTATAACACATTGCTTCCGAATGCATATCATAAAATGCTTTCGCAATCAACTGCGACTGCTCGCAGTTGATTTCGAACTAGAATTACTGTGCAATGTGCATGGAGAACTACTGTACTGAGCATTCTTCTTCTTTTATTATACAGTACATCTACAAGGGCGGAAAATAGTCTAGTCAGCAGTTTTTAAATCGATTGGAAATCACATCCTGCGACTGCTCGCAGTGGATTGTACACTCGAATTAATCTACTGCATACTGTGCAATATGCATGGAGAACTACTGTACATTCTTCTTCTTTTATGATACATCTACAAGGGCGGAAAAGAGTCTACGTCAGCAGTTTTTAAATTGATTGGAAATCACATCCTCCAAATTCTTAATGGGCACAGTTTGGCATCCAATGCGATCAAAATGTCATCGATCCAGTAGAGTCAATAATAATAATAGTTTTATACGATAGGATAGATAATACAGTATTATGCAGTAGGGTAATATTAGAGAGAAGGATAGTCAAGTATTATACAGTGTTGTGCTTGCCAATCGATTGACCTTCAATAACTTTTAACATATTAGAGAGAAGGATAGTCAAGTATTGTACAGTGTTGTGCTTGCTAATCGATTGACCTTCAATAACTTTTAACATATATATATATACACAAGCTGGAGAATCATGGATGCAACAAGTCAAGATAATGTTGATGACCATAAGGAGGAATTACTAAAGCCGAGGGCTTATCAAAGTGAATTATTAGAAGCTGCTTTACGAAGTAATGCTATCATCTGCTTGAATACCGGCAGTGGTAAAACCTTCATTGCTGTTATGCTGATTAAAAAGTTACAACACGAAATTCTTCCAAAGCCTCTCGATCAGGGTGGGAAGAAGACCTTTTTCTTGGTCAATACAGGTATTAAGTTAATCCAATGATAGCTTTGCATCTATATTTTGCCTTATGATACGTACATTACTGGTAGCACTACTATCGTAAACAACGTCTACATCAATCTACAAATACAAGATGAAGGAATCATGATTCACGTGTTGTTCATTAGCTACTTATTGACATCGAATATCTTCTAGGATAACATACGATACTGTACTACTGATTCAGTAGTTGCTAACAATTCTTTGATACTTTGGTGTGATTGATACCCAAAATTAAATGTATCCGGATAGTACTGGAAGATAGAGTTAATCTAAACGTTGCCATCATGACCAGGATCCAATGTATACGTATCCCATACTTCGATGCTTAATCTATTAATATCCATGGATTGCTTGCAATGTACAGTATTGTCGCCGTACAACTGTACTATATATCTACAACAGTTCACGACTACTCTATTTGCAATTTTATTTCGTGTATAGTATAGCTATTGGCTTAATTGCAAGCATGCATATGAACTGAAGATGCAGTCAATCCATAATAACGCTACGATGCGTATTTCATAATTTCAATTTTTAATTTCTGTTTACTGCAGCATCAGCTGCAATCGTCAAAGTTATTATTCGAGTAACAACGATTAATTCTTGCATGTGTACTTATCTTGATCTATTTAGTTCCACTAGCCAGGCAACAAAGCGATGTCTTGCGTAAAGAAACGCCTTTCAAAGTTGGTGACTATGTAGGAGATGATGTTGACCTGTGGAATAAAACAAAATGGGTTTATGAATTAGACTCTCAGCAGGTCTTAGTTATGACTGCTGATATCTTAGCACAAATTTTACAACACGGCTATATCAAAGTTAGTCAAATTAATTTATTAATATTTGATGAATGCCATCATGCTGTTGGAAATCATACGTATGTACAAATTATGCGTGACTACGTATACAAGGAGCAAAAAAGCAAGCCCCGAATATTTGGTATGACTGCGTCTGTCTTTCATGGTAAATGCAGAATTGGTCAAATCGAAAATAAAATTAGGTCATTGGAAGCGATATTATTAAGTCGAGTTGTTACTACTTCGTACCGACAAGACTTGGCAAATCATAGTACAAAGGCTGAAGAAATGTTAATTCCTTACGCAATCAACTTATTAGATAACCATCGCCATAAATTAAGTGAGGTTATATCGTCGATACGTAATATCGAGGACTGGATAAGTAGTTTGCCTAGCCAAAATAAACGAATTGTGGATTACAATATGAATGATACGTCAAGTAAGAAAGTTTTAGAAGGATACGTCAAAGATTTTAAAGCAACGTATGAAGGGCTCGGAGGGTACGGATTATATCTTATCATCAACTCGGTCATAAATGAGCTTGTAAAAGTCATTAATGATCCTTCCAAATGGAAGCTATATTCATTGTTCCTAAAGAAGTTATACCTTATACAGAAAGAGTTACAACAGGCTGGACTGGATCATTGGGAGTCTGTCTATCAACAACCAAAGTTATTTACACTCTTTAATGAACTTCATAAACTTCTATCAAATTTGGGAGATAGCAGAAATTTTTGTGCGATTATCTTTACTGAAAAGCGCTGTGTTGCTTATGCTTTAAGTTCTATACTAGACAAGGTGGCTGAGCATGATAACGCATTTTCCTGTATAAAAAGCGATTTTGTGGTTGGCCATGGTACTCGAGTATCTTCTAGTCTGGTAGCTACTAATATGTCCCATAATCAACAAACTCGTGCCATTAATAAATTTCGTCGGCAAGATGTAAATATATTGGTAGCGACCAATGTGCTAGAGGAAGGAATAGATGTTCCTAAATGCAATTTAGTCGTTCGATTTGATGAAATTAAAACTTTTGGCTCATATCTACAAGCCAAAGGTAGAGCTCGAGCTCAACATGCTCATTATATAATACTGGTGGAAAAAGATAAAATAGCTGACGCACGGGATCAATTTTCAACGTGGTCGTATCTCGAGAGGTACTTGCAAGACCAATGCCAATGCAGAGCTGTTGGTACTGAAGAAGATTATTTAGCTGATGATAGTTTAAATTTAGTGCCCCCATATGAAGTTGAATCTACCGGTGCTAAAGTCACAATGTCAAATAGTGTTAAGTTGCTACATTGGTATGAAAATATTATTCTTTGATTTCAGATTTCCTTTGATTATGATTTATTCATAAGAGTTAATTGATACAAGTATGTAGAATAAAAGCTAATCTGAGACTAGAACTGTAAATGATTTGTATTACCGGTACATGTACAGGTACTGTAGTACGCTACCTCAAGACGAATATAGCGTACCGGAGCCGGTCATTACCTTGAATAAGTCGTTCATGATGCCAGGAAAGATAAAAGCAACCATACAGTTACCATCTTCTTCTCCTCTGCCTGACTCCATTACTGTAAGTAAAATCCACTACAACTGGGATCGGTAAAGCTAGATATAAGAATCAATGTTATTTGCTTCATCATTTTATCGTTTATTGAATAACTTGGTTCATTCAAGTAATATCAAATGTTGAAAATTTTTGGATTAAAAGAAGCTGTACGAGTTTCCAATCCAGATTATTTTTATGGCTAATAATCTATGTTTGAAATTCATAGGGCCCTTTAGCGATAACTGAGAAGCGCGCAAAGGCTTCTACTGCGCTGCTAGTATGCCAGGAGTTACATGAAATAGGACAGTTAGATGATAATTTAGTACCTGTCAAGTACCTACAATCTGAATCATTCTCGAAAAATGTATCTTTCGACGATGATAGTGACAATAGTATTGACAACAAGGCAACGGTAGAAGATGCTATAGGCAAAAAAGAAGTTTCATGTCCTCAAAAGGTAGGATAAAGTCATCTGATATGTAGGAAATTATTCTTTATATTTTTTTCGATAGTATCTGTTAATTATATGCATACGTAAATTATAGATTCCAGCAGTACTGAATGATTGCCATCCAAAGGAGAAACAAGATCTTTATCTCTATGCGCTGGTTATGAAGGCGTTACCACCATACAAAGCCGTGAATATCTTTGATAAAGTCAATTTTGGTATAATACTATCGCACAAGCTGCCGGAAGTTAGCATGATTTATAGAAATACAGTGATATAGTGGCAACATAGATATCGTATTACTCGCAATGACAGTCAAAATTCTGTTAAATTATATTTGGTGTTAGCGACAATATCTGTAATATGCTTTTTTTGTTGAAGACTTAATAAAATCATGCTGTTATTTCTCTAGTTACCCTGTTTTAATTTGTATACCTCCTACGGTGCGATAGAAGCTTCCATAAAATTAAGTTGTCGGAGAAAGATGGTAACTTCAGAACAATTATTACAGATTCACTTTTTTAATAAGAAAATATGCACGTTTGCCTTTCAAATCAACAGAGATGACCTGAGATACAATGCTCGTTTTAGTATTTCTGGTTATATGTTAATCCCAATTATTGTGAATTCTACAACAGGAAATGACTTGTATGTAAACTATTACCAGAATCATTAGTTGATAGTTTCGATCACGTTCTTATATGGATATTAGTTGTCTTCCAATAATTGTTTTAAATTAATTAATTTTTCTGTTCTTCAATTTAGTGATGCGGATATCGATTACAAATACATCGACGAAATTATCAAATATCGACAACATTATGTCGAAATTGATTGTACCAAATTAGATATGCTTAATGATGCCCTAGTTGTTCAAAATTATGGCGACTATCCAGGTATGTATGAAATCAGAGAAATTTGTAGACATCGCTCACCAGAGGATAACATGCAAGGCGATGACGACTGCGATAAGAATTTCATGACATATTACAAGGAGAGGTATCATATTACAATTAAAGATCCAAAGCAACCTTTGTTGCTTGTTAAAAAAATTTCGAAAAGACGTAATATGCTACGTTCTAATACAGATGCTAAATCAGTCGATATCAGTAACGAAAGTTACATATCTGATGATGAGATTCAGTTAACCTCAACGAGTAACATTCCAATTACAGATAAGCAATCAGAAACTTCTAGTAAAATAACAGAATTAATTCCGGAATTGTGTAAAAGATATTTCCTATCAGCATCTGTTTGGAAGGTTATAACATGCATTCCAAGTTTTCTATGGCGAATGGAAACATTGTTATTGGCTCATGAACTTAAAGATGTGTTATTCGGATCTATCCCTATTAACGGTATTAGCATAAGTAAAAATCAAACTTTTACACTGAAGTTACTGGAAGCGCTAACATTGGCTGAGGCTGAAGATGATATCAGTTTAGAGAGATTAGAATTTCTGGGCGATTCATTTCTGAAATTTATTATTGCAGCAAATTTGTTCATAAGTCACCCAAAGTATCATGAGGGACAACTTACAAATGAGCTTACAAAAATTGTTCGCAATGATAATTTATTAAAGCTTGGTAAATCAACCCCTATTTGTGAGTATATTATAGGAAAGCCATTTAATCTATTAAAGAATGAAGGGTGGATACCCCCTGGATATAAATTACTTTCAAGTAAGGTTAAAAATCTAGATGAAAAAGTTACTTCAGACTTAGATGGTGATAAAGCTGTGACACATCAGAAATTTAGTAGTAAATCCATTGCTGATGTTATGAAAGCAATCCTGGCGGCCATCTTACTTGAGTTTGATGAAAGACATGCAAAATATTTTATCTCTTGGCTTGATAAAGATATTAAATTTACAATAAATGCAAGTGCAGCATCGCTGTTGCCAGATGATGATAATATATCCAGTAATGAAATTAATAAAATATACGAAACGAATAATCTAGAGCGACTGGAAAAAGTGATCGGGTATTCGTTTCAAAATAAGCTTTTTATGATTCGGGCTTTAACTCATTCAAGCTATCATCATCATGATATTGCTATAGAATCCAATCAAAAGCTAGAATTTCTAGGTGACACAATTCTGCAATATATTATAGCGAGACATTTTTTCAATAGCCATCCGGATGCAAAGCCAGCTAAGCTACATGACTTCCAAGAAGCTATTGTAAATAATAAATGTCTAGCGGTCATTGGTATAGCTATCGGCGTTTCTAAATATGTATTTCAAGAATCTCCAGACTTATTCAGGGATATTGACCAATTTGCTAAGATTATTACTTGCGTAAGATACTTTATTGGGTGATGATTGATTATCAATTAATTATAAACTACACCTATGTCATGCGCAATAAAACTGATTTACTTTTATGATGTAGGATTATATGATAGACGATGAAATGAATTATAATGATCGGACCGAAGCACTTTTCGAAAACTTTACGGAAGAGGTTAAAATTCCAAAACCTGTATCAGACGTTGTTGAAGCTCTTATTGGAGCTATTTATATCGATACTGGAGAATCAATCGCAGAAGTTACCAAAGCATTGATGCCACTCCTTCAGCCGCGAATTAGTAAGTTAAATAGCAGTGAGTGGCTTTATCAAATTATACAAAGTTTTTTGTATAGTTTTACCAGTACATCCAATTCCTGACAATGATATAACTATTACTTTGTGTTTTGGTATCAGGCTTAGTTTTACGTGATATTCCGATATCGCCCATTCGGCAACTGTACGAGAAAGTTCCTGAAGGTGTTTCTTTCGTGTAAGTAGAATATTGAAGCATAATTTCCTATTTAAGAAAAGGATAAGAATAGTTTTAATGGACTTTTGAGCACCGTTCATAATGTCTGTTCGCTTAAATAATACTGTATACCATTATATATAGAAAAAAAGGAATTGATGGACTAAGTCACACAATATCATCAAGTTTAGCCAATGGCAAAGAATATGAGGCAAAAGCAACAAATTTTAAGCAAGCTAAGAACATAGTTTCGGAAACTGCTCCAGCCGATCTAGGCAATCGTGGCCAATAAGTAATATCTTAATGTTTGATATGAATCCTTGCCTTATATGAATAAATAATTTTAAATTGAATATTGGCTTATGGTCTTGTCACTGCACTGTACTGTATCAAGGTAGTTGGGACGAAATGGATACGATCATCCTGTGTACAGCAAGGTTTAGAAATGGCGAGATATGTTACACAATTTGCTGTATTTCGTGTTAACTCCAAAGATGTTGGTGAGCCACGAATATAATGCGAATATAACACAAATTAGATCATTCATCTTATTCATTTTAAAAGGAATGAAGATATTTTTAATACTCTCACGATTGATAGAAAAGAGTTCATGGTAATTTAGATTTCGTACGATGATAGATGTTATGGAAATACAAAAATTGCTATTTTTGTTTATAATTATTTGGTTGGATTGCTTGCAGAGGAGCTGTAAATCGAACTAACTTACCTGTAATCTTGAAAATCTTGATTATGTCCTTTATTTATCTTGACCGCTGTATATTTCGCGCGAAATTATATTTTATATACGAATTTATTATTTTTGGGGGCTCTTACTAACAGATTGTACGATGCGTAAGCTCGTTGTAATTATGAGTAATATTAAAAATTGTTTGTGTGAATTGACGTTTTATTAATTATCATTTCTTCATATAATCTGTTTAGTCTTTGATTAATATGATAATGCACAGCTATATAGTCTGTATTGGTAATATTTATAATAATTCATAAAACTTTAGAAGGATAGTTTTACTTTGTATACACCAGGAACTTCTGACGAGATTATAAAAGGCTGGTGCCTGAAAATCACTTTTTAGTTACTTAGTCGGTTAGTCAACTAGTTTATCAATTACTATTGAATTGTCAAGACTATAATCTTGGTTGTCAAGATTTCTTCAGTAATAGTAATAATTCTCTGACTACCTCGTCTACACTATCAGTGACGCTATAACTATGCTATGGTAATCGGTCGTTGGAACTGATCTATTTGGTGATATAACTAATCTCGTCTCTTTAAGTCAATAAGAGACTTTTTTCGTTAGCGTTAGCGTGTGTAAGCTACGGTACAATCACGCATCCAAATTTAGAAGGCTTTACTTTTCGAGTAAGCCCTTTCAAATACACGACGCTGGTCGCCCGACGCCCATAATATAAAATTTTATATTTTGGGCAACCAGCGGCGAGTTTTGGAAAGGATTTGACCAAATAGGTCTAGTTCTTGATTCAAAGCTAGGTTTTCGCCCCCCCCCCCCCATGTGAACGCACCATTACTGTGTCGTTCATATGCATAAGTGTGAGATATCAAGAAAAACCTATGTTATTATATTCCAGGTATAAATGTTGCGGACTCGGACTCCGTAAAAATTGTAACTGGCGTGCAAATAAAAATATAAGAAATCATTGCGAAGGATTGTACGAAAACTTAATAGCTAAACTAAAGTAGAAACAACATAGGCTAGAGCTAACTGCAACCATTTTTATTTTTACTTATATTTTGAATCGTATCCATGAAAATTTAGCCGTTCGATAGATTCTAAAATATTAACGTATACCGTAGGCAGAATTGATTAAAAGTAGGAGTCACTGGTTGGTGTTACTTAGTTCTATAAGAAAGTTGATTTGATTTTATTATTACGGAAATCATAAAGATAGATAATGAGTTAGAATACTGTAGATCAATTTATAGACGAAGAAGTGGGGAAGTATGAGTAAGAAGATGACGATCAGTGAATTTTTGGTTGTGCTAGCTTATAGTAGTCGAAGTTATCATGGTAAGAATCAGAAGAGTAGTATGGAAGTTAAATGCAAAATATGGTAAAATCTTTGCAAATGTAAGCATACCGAAATGCTAAGGAAGGCTAGAAAAGAAATGAAATTCGTTATCGCTCTACTTACATGTGGAGTTGATATTTTTATTATGGAAATGATTAGAGTTATATCGAGATTAACTGATTAATAATACATTTATAGTATCTATAATAAAAACAGACAAAAAGATTAGAATTGACCATGACCATTTTGAGAGATGTTAGCATGTTGAAAATTGACGTTGCCATAAAGTCAATAATTTCAGGATGGACGAATATAGTAATATCCTACCATCTTGTTTGTCTATGGAATAAATTTGGTCTACAGTATACGAAGTGTACACATGCAAATAAGGATGAAACGAGAGAATTTTAACGGCGGTTTAAATTAATTTCGGTGGTATTGGAAATAACAGCCCTATTAGCTGGATTTGTATTCAAGTATACGGTACGATAAAATACTTGTCTGCTCTGGATTTCGAAATAATTGAATGAATGCACTTGTATTCACTTTGCATAAGCACTATCGAAAGTTCATAGCACTATATTTGTATGCGATCGATCAAGAAAGCAACAAAGTTATCATAGATTAATTAGGAGCTTTTCCCTTTCGATTCCTTTCATGACAATGTTTAATGAATTTTATTGAAAGACACAACAAGAAGTTGTTTACGACGCTATGGAAACTATGTGTGATAAATCTCGCCTGTATAAGATATGTAAAATAGTGAAATATTAACGCTGAAGAAACGCTTATACGAATTTTATCGAATTGTTGAAAGTATTTATCACCTTGCAGTTATCAAATTCTGACAGTATGAAATTATTAAAATTTCATCTTGCTTAAATTCATATATTGCGATAGATTACGGTTAATCTTGTAAGTTTTATTGGTTAACAACAAGTTCGAAAGATTCTACGTTGCATTACAAGGTAAGCTAAAGCTTCTTCTAGTGGTAAGAAAAAGTCTTATAGCATCCTTATGCTGTTTTGGCTGCTGAAAATGTGCAGTAAAACTTGACGACATGTGTACGACTTAGTTGGAGTTGTTTTCCACTACATACCTTCAAAATAAAATTGGCATCTTCAGTTGAATAATTGTCCGCGTACTTTTAGCCTAGTGATAATAATTATACTCGAATATAGCTATGACTCTTTAGAAATATTTTAGGCTATGTGAGTTTCAAATAATGTCGCGAGTTCGATCCTGCTTGTACATTAGCTTACTACAACTAAAGTTACCTATACAGAATATCGTTATGATGGCGGTAGCTTAATCAGTTAACAGGTAATCTTTCAATTTAATTCATAATTTCTCTTCTAAAAACCTACTTGAAATTGACGGTATTCATGGCATATTCTCAAGGCGATCGCTTGAGATTGTTGGGGTTGGGCACAGTTGATTCGATGCCAATATCTCTACCTGAATAAAGTCTAGAAAGAGTTGATTTGGAAGCGGATCTATCGTCCTATTAATCATGGGTAAATATTGAGAATTTTCAATCCGCTACCCTCATATTTGATGCTTGAGGCTGGGGCTGAAGGGGTCACTTCGGATTAAAGTTATGATCTCTTTCAAGAAAAATCTGCAATCGACGTGTAATTTATAATTAAGACCTGTTGGATATTTTTGGAAAGGGAGAAAATTGGATACCTAAGATTTGACACTGCGATCCCTACTTGAATAACCTCCAGATAGAACTATTTTAGAAGTGCAGTTGAAGACTTTTAGTTCGGCTCCTGTAAACTGATATCTCTAGATTGGGCTAATCAGAGGCCTAGAATTTAGATTATGATCTCTTTTCTAATAAAATCCACTTGCAGCCAGCTCATGGCAGGCTTTTAAAAGTGGCAGTTTGCTTATTTTCGTTGGATATCTTTGAACATTCATCTCTACTGGAAGAATATCCATATAGTACCGATAGGTAAGGGAATGAATTAATATTAACGCTGTCGTTTAAGAATTTAACAGGCCATCCTCGAATTGGCATTTACAGCTTATGCTGACAGGAGCCGTAAGTTAAGGTGACTCTTTCCTCCAATTTATATTTCATCTCAACTATAATAAGTTACAAGCTACCATGCCTAATCTTATCCTCTAATAAAGCGCTATATTTGTGTAGTTGCAATTTCTATTGGTTCTCTATCTGTGGCTTATGTGACTTATATCTCTGTTTCCACCCGATAAATCCATATCCCATCTATTTATTATTCAATATATAAGAGTACCGCACGTAGACAGAGATACGATAGTAGACTTTTGTCCAATTTATCGGCTGGAAAGTAGACACATTTTTATTTTCTCATTCGTAATTTCTAATTGGGATAAATCGCAATTGAAATCTGCTTGCCTTTGAATATTAGAAAAGAGGAAAAGAGTCACTTTAATATAGTAGCTGTCAATTTCTTATGGGACTTTTGTCTATTTCCACGCTGATATATCCATATCCAATTTATTTCTCATACAAGATACGACGAATACATAAATGTGGTAGTAGATTTTTTGTCTCATTTTTTGACTAAACACCATGATTATTACTCTATCATAATTCCTAATTGCGGTAAATTTGGCGTTGAGATCTGCTCACCTTTAATTAAATAGTAGAACAAGGGTATTGTCAAAAAGCACAATATTTCTTCTTCAGATAATTTTGAAAGGTAGTGCCAAAAAATTTCGTTCTATGACCGAAAATCGTCAATTTATTATACTAGTTATTTTTTTGCTATTTCAAGGATAGAAAAACAGAGGGCTAGAACTGATAGAACGTTCCCATATCAGTTGTTGACCACTGCTGATAATGTAATTATCCCAAATATAACAGTTAGGATTGTGTACAACACTTAATCTCGACAAGATTGCAAACGAAATTATGACATGAGCAACCTGAAGATTTTATTTTCTCCCTTCGAGTAATGAACTGTAAAAGTTATTTTTCATCCTTTATGAGCAATGCTCGAATTTTGCCAACTCCATAGGTATGATCTATAAATCAGTACAGAACAGTTTTAGCCTAATCTTAGGTAATAGTAAATGTTATAGCTAAAGTTATTCATTGAAATATTTATGGAAGGTATACACGAAAGCTTGTAGTCCAATTTACAAGCTCTTATTGATGATCATATAGGTTGCTATGAGTAATTCTCCATTTTGCTATTTTGATTTGACTTTTAAGAAATTCATGTTGCTGATGTTATGCTACTGTATAGAAGCGCCTTCGAAAGAAAACAATTAAAATAATTCATTACTCAGATCATTTTCCCGCGATCCATGCGAAGCCAAGGATTAAAACTACGATTAGAATCAGCTCATCAGCATATAGTATCTTAACCATCCATTCTATATCATAGGTAGTAAGGGTTATAGTAGCTTCCCTCAGAATCGTATAGTAGAAAGATCATATTAATGTGTACTATTAGGCCAGATGTTTTGGTTGCCGGCATTTTTTAAGTATTGATGAAAATAGATAGGATAATCTTTTGCTAGAAAGGTATTTTAGATATCATTAAACTTAATTATTTGAAAAGAATAATTTCATCTCCTATTTTAGCCTTGAACTTTGTATCGTCACAAAGAAGGCTTACATTAGCTTTATTCACCGTCATAGAGTAGAATGAAATATAGGAGTATTTACTAGCAGGCCAGTTAACATTGATTGCTAACATTTAATGAGTATTTTCCCGATAATAGATGAGAGTTCTACACTTATTTGTATATAACATCGATGTTGAAGATAACAGATTCTGTAATGGCAGATGGTTAATAGTTTTAGAGTTATTCGTAACTAGTATCGATATCGATGATATCAAGAGTCCATGATGGCACATAATTTATAGATTTAGGGTTATTTGTATCTAGTATCGATGTCGATGGTGAGGATGTCCTCCGGAGTTAAACTTAACCCATTTCTAGTTTAATTCTATATCGTTTCTTAGCTGTTAAATTAAACGTAATTCATAATAATTAAATTGTACAAAAAAATGAGATCAATATAGCAATGCAACATAGCTAGTTGAAGAAACACGGCTACTTTGTTATTTCAACTGTAGCCATAATTTTATAAAATTGATGACCAAGTGGTTGTTTATTTACATTTTGACTTCGATGGGAATAATTAATTGGAATAATTAATTATAAAGTCTATAATTCTAACTTATCTAGTGATCGTGATAGTAATAGGAATAACTGTACAATAGAACTAGATATGTATATTATATTATTCTTATGAGTAGACTAGTCCCCTATTGTATACCGCCTATAAATATGCAAATTGAGATTGATTGCAGTCAGTATTTTTATACCCTTGGTTTCTTCATCTTTAGTCGAAATCAAGAAAGAAAAATGAAGAACAAAATAGTAAATTGCTTTTTCATCCTTACTGGCCTCTTTTTCATAAATCCAGGTAAGCTATTACTTATAGTAAGAAGTAGAAAGACATTATAAATGAAAAATTAAACATGCAAGCCAACCTTAGTATATGGTATTTCCTTCGATTTGACCGTATTCAGTGAATAAAAATGAAGTTAGTTTTAAAGTAGCGAATTAAGATGAGATTGTAATAAAAGCACTTGATTCAATTCTTGCATTTTAAATCGGTTTTGTAGCGCCTAGAATCAATACTTCACTTTAAATTATTTAATTTGTCAGATAATTACTTTATAGGCTATATTAAAGCAAAAAGGTAAGTGACTGAGTTAAAAATAAATCAGCTACATAGTGTATAGAGGAATCCATACGTCCATTTGGAACCAAGACTGATTAATCAAATTTTGCTACATTAGCTTTACTTGAACCAGTTACATTGACAATTGAAAATGGATGGTTTGCCTGAAAGTATATTAATAATAGCAAAAAAATGATAGCTATAGATATGAATACAACCATTTCATACATCGCATTTTATTTTACTCCTAATAAATCTGATCAAATAGCCATCTATAATAGCTAGCAATGGACATGATCTACAGTTTCCTATAATATGAAATAGCCGATAGCTGCATCCGAGTTCATAGCTGGAGTGGAAATTGCTCAATAACTAGATCAAAATTTGTAATTATTTCTAAATTTTTTGTTGATATTCCATTTAATCGTATTAAAAAGGCTATCTATCCATTTTGCCTATTGATATGTAATTGACTATAAGAGATATAATCTATACAGTACTTCTCGAAAGATCAGGAAATAAAACAAATTGAGCTAGTTTAAACAATAAATTTATGACTACTACAATGCAAATAAGGAAGTAATAGTTATGATCTATCTTACATTCTAGTGAATCTCTCTTCGTGATTTTAGATTAAAAGTTTTCATCTTTTAAGGATGGATATAATTCATAATCAGCTATATCAAAGGGTATACCTTTACATAAGATTGAATTTACGATGAAAGTAGCATGACAACGACATTAGTATGCTTTACTATAAAAAAATCCGAATTTTGACTTATACTCGATTTCTTGTTGTAATGCCATTTCGAAATTTAAAAATTAGTTATGAGGAGGACGTTATCTTTGCTCGATTTCCTAACATTGCACAAGTTATCGATTTGATTGTCTGAAATTATTTACTAGTGTGTGGATATATCTCACGACAAAGATGACGGAAAGTTTAATCTTGTGGTCAATTTCTAGTTTTATTTCCATTTTCAAAAGCTATCCATGTTATAACCTAAAAGTATTGCATTATATATGGGTATATCTTACAGTAATAGCCACCATTAATTTATCCGTACTCAATTTCGCATTTTTGCTCCATTTCAAAAGTTATCTATTTGATTGCATAGAAGTAGATGTAAATTAGTATTACTGTATATTAGTATAAGGTTAGAAAATAGCTTTGATTTAAGTTAATATTTAAATTCAGAATTTATTTGATAGCTCTATTAACAGTAGTTACTGGCTTCATTATTGTATGGTCAGCTTCTTTCCTCGATTCTATATCATAAGCTACTAATTATTTTAACCCTATGTTTATAGATACTAAACTTAGTCCAGAAAATAGCTTAGTTAGAGTAATTATCTAGAGCAAAATTTCTTCATAACTATGATTCCCGATAATAACCATTATCAGTTAGGCTATGTAAGGTTTAAGTTTCTGTACTTACTTTCATATTATGGTTATCAGGCTAGATTAATGACTAAAGTAAGTAAAATTTATTTTTATCTTGTAAATGGGGAAATAGCCGCATTGCGTTAATATCCGATATTTAGAGTATAAGTGACTGGATACTAGATCAATACAGCGTAAATTATTAATAGTAGCATTCCCTAATTTATTCTGAGAGTGATAAATTTCTGTTATATATTTTTTGTGAAATGGCGTTATTCATTTATTTTCGCTGCTGAATAAAGTAACGTTCGTAGTTGCTTTATATATCAAGAACGCTTTATTTCAGTTTAATATTATTAGTAGACTACGTAATCACTAGATGCAGAAATACTACAGTACTATATTTCATATAATATTTTTGATATATAATAGTTTAAAGACATCAACTCAGCCTATACACTATGGCTTATTTTAATTGTAATTATTTCACCTTGATAGGGGCTACGGCATTTGATGGACGTAACTATATGGCGGTCAATATTACCGATCATGCCGATAATATGACGCTCCAATTTCAAATTAAAAGTAATCAAATCGATGGACAGCTATTTCTTTTACCTATTTCCGGGAATTCAAGTTATCTATCCATCCAAATAAAATCTGGCTATTTGAAAGCGCTATGGATTATTCATGATGAAAGTCTAGGATTGAACAGTATGGAGCTAAATAATGGAGTATTAATCAGCAATCATCAACCTCATATGGTTAATCTATATCGACTTGGAGAAAATTTTATTCTACAAGTCGATTCATTCCTTTCTCATTCTCAACATTTATTAGCACCATTCAATCGTTATTCCATCCATGGCATAGCGTATATCGGTGGCACACCAAGCGAAATTCAGACAAGATTCAATTTGACTCAAAATTTTATCGGATGTATGCATAATATTACATTCTCTCAGAATAATGCTAATCTCTTCGTCAAAGAGAAGGTAATTATTGGAAATTTAAGTCAACTTTCTTGCCAAAATCAAGATATTCAATTAGCTTATTTATCCAAATCACAATCAAGCATTCAATTCATGGAGCAGATTTATAATCAATCTGCTGAATATAATTTAACGTTTGTATTTCGTGCATCGTATTCACAACAAACTCAACTATTATATATCACTGAAACTCAATCCATGCATATGCTTCGACTTTTTATAAATAACAAGGTCATATTTGTTGATGTATCCAATTTTGCACCTTTGCCAGCAGTCATTAATAGAGACATTTTTGACGGTTACTGGCATCACTTATCTGTTATATTAAATCGAACACATTGCCGCGTTATACTTGATAATGAAGAAACAACATTAACATCTCTCCAGCCAATCGATAATCAAAATAAGACTCAAAATCGAACTGTAACAATTCAATTTCATGGATGTATTCAACAGTTAACATGGAATGGGCAATTACAACATTTCAATCGATCTACTATTCGTTAACCGATGTCCAATTAAATATATGCGGTGCTCAAGATTATTGTCTTCCATTCTATCCTTGCCAACACGGTGGAGAATGTAAGAATAAATATAATACATTTGAATGCAACTGTAGCCCTACCAATCATTATGAGGGTACCCGATGCCAACAATGTAAGTTTGTACTTAACCGCATATAACAGTATTTCAATAGACTCTTATTCTAAAAGATTGAAACCTTTTTGTAAATTTATTGCATGTAAATCGAGTTTACGAGGTATTTTAAGTAGGATGAGAGTATGTAATTGTGTATCTATAGGAAATACAGAGAATAAGATGAGAAGAAGATATATATAAGTATTACGATATTTAAAAATTCTTTCCTAATACACTAAAAAAACTATATCCATTTTCCGTAGCGTTTGCCAGTGGTATACTATGCTGCCGAGATATTTTTACAGTTTAAAGTTAATATAGCACTGAAATAATTCTTCAAATCAAAGTATTATATTTTAATCTATACCTAAATGGATTGCGTTGTGCATTGCTTTACCTGATGAGATACGAGTCATTTTCTTCTCTAAATGAATAATTTGTAATAGAAGTCGGATACAATACAAGCATAAGATTGAATGTTATACTTTGTTAATATGGGATTCGAATAGGTTGAAAATTTTATTATACATAAATATATAGATCGATACCAACAATCTTGCTACGATATCTTTCGCCTTCAAGAAAGTAAGGCGGATGGATGGTATAATATCGACCCTGATGGCCCTAATGGTTTACTACAGCCATTTCCCACTTTTTGTAGCAGATCTGATTTAACTATAACCACTATTCGTCATCAATTTGGAACTAATCCGTATAATGTACCACAAAATAATTCTATTGGACCTGGTGCTCGTGTTATTGATATTACTTATCAAGATGGTATAGGAATTCAATTACAGAATATTTCAATTTCTCAAATTACTGCTTTAATTAATAACTCTAATACGTGTGGTCAAGTCTTAAACTATTTCTGTAGCCGATCTGTTCTGCTTAATTATCCTCATCAACCTTACGTATGGTGGGTATCTCGCCATGGCCAAGCTATGAATAGTTGGAGTGGTGCTCCAATTGGTTCTCGAAAATGTGCTTGCGGTACTGTAGATTCCTGCATCAATAAGACTAAAGTATGTAATTGTGATGCCAATCGACAAACATGGGCATCGGATGAAGGTACTTTGACCAGCAAAGCACATTTACCGGTTACTCAGGTCCATGTCGGTTACCAATCAAATGATATCCAACGACAAAGTCTTATCCAACTTGGTAGCTTAACTTGCGATGGTCAAGGTATGAAAATAAACCTAGTGCTATTATTATTCAAGAGAATTTATTAAGATTAGTTATAAATAAAGAACTATCAATTTTTAATTATCTTTATATAACTTTATTAATTCCAATTTGTAACATTTAAACAATATCCTCTTTATCACCTCCGCTAGATATTATAATATTAATTTCAAATCAATAAACTATCAATTTCTGATTATCTTGCATGACTTATCATTTCTAATTTGTAATGTTTAAATTATATTCTCTCTTAGTACTTCTATCAGATATTATAATATTAATTTCAAATTAATGAACTACCGATTTTTAATATCTTTGTATGACTTTATTAGTTCTCATTTCTAATATGTAAATTATGTTCTCATTTAGCACCTCCATCAGATATAATAACATTAACTTCAAATCGTCATGGAATTGCATTAAATCGGCAACAATTATCCGATGGTCATATTAGAATTTCATTTAAAGGGAAATCAGTTTATGGGATCTTACTTTTTTTGCAAGGGTTATCAACTCGAGTTGTACTGACCGTATCTCCAAAGCAAGTGAATCTAACATATGATTTAGGACAAGGTCATGGCCAACAACAACTATCCGTTGCAGCTGAAGGTTATAATCTATACAACGATGATAACTGGCATCAAATAAGGTTTAGTTTATCGCTATCTGGAAGTTGGCTTAGTGTTGATCAAGCTACATCATTTGAAAAGAAAGGCGTAACGTCCACTATTCACCAATTAATTCGATTTGATCTCAGTGGAATACTCTCAATTGGCTATAACTCTGCAATGTAAATAGTTTATGATTAATGGTTCAAACTGACTATTTTTTCAACAAAATTTGATAGTATTATTTACGTAAGCATACATTTATATTTATATTAAATAATAATTCATATGCGTTTGTATCCAAACCATTTTGTTTGCTGTATAGGAATATGGATGGTTTTACTGGTTGCCTAGGTGATTTCTTTATTGGACTGAAGAAATATAGTCTTCAACAATATATCGGAAATACCATTGTTAATAGCTGTAAAATTCCATGCTTTAAAACTCCGTGTCAACACTTTTCCGTATGTCAAGGAAATTACTCTTCATTTTATTGCGATTGTTCATCAACGCAATATATTGGACCAGTCTGTAGTCACAGTAAGTACTATGATAATTTGTATGGTTTTCCTTTCGTAGTTAATTATCTCTTGACGTGCGAATAATATATATTATTAACTAATTTATATTATTTTTTTGCTTGTATATAGTTCGAGGGGCTCAGTTTAGTAACGGAAATGGTATAAGATATACTAACAGCGAATTTAATCCGTCAGACAATCGGATTTTCTTATCATTTTGGACCAATTTGTCTCATATTGATATTCTTAATTTAAAATTATCAATTGAAAATAGCCCACAAAGTGAATTAATCCTAGCTATCGATAACAGTAGAATATTGTTGGTTGTAAACGATTCTAATATAATATTGAATGAATTAAATCGAGTAAAGTATAACGATCAACAACGTCATGATGTCTTAATTGATTTAGAAAGAAATTTGATTTCTGTCGACGGTAAAGAAGTACAAGATGTGGTGAAATTGAGCTTACATAATAATATAACAATTCAGTTGGGCGATGGAAATAATGGCTTAGGTGGTCTATGCTTGAATAATGTATCAATTTTGGGTTTACGTCTACTTGATTTAGCATATCAATCACCTAAGAGTCAGAATATAGAATTTATTCCAAATCAATCAAGACATGAAGTAAAAGAAGCTATTTGTATTAATGGCCAAATTTTACCCACTACTACTTCAACAACCTTAACAAAATCTACAACACATTTTACTAATAAAATCCCATCTACAACCAAAATACCTTCAACAAATAAGCCTATTTCAAAGGCAAGTAATGCTGCTCCCACAACAAGTTCAAAGCAATCGACAACATCTAGTTCACAACAAATTTTTACTTCTGGTCTTGGAACTGGATCGGTACCCTTTGTCAATACTATAGGCACTGCATTGACAGGAAGTCAACAAAGTATGACAATTGGGATCGTTGCTGGCGTGGTTTCATTTATATTAGTAGTAATAATTATCGTGGTGTTATATTGGTATTATGTGTTAAGGCCTAAGAAAGAAAAGAGCATAGAATTGACGCATATGGATAAAGAAATAATAGAAAATACTGATCAACCTGATCAAATTGTGGGATCGACTTCAGATCAATCGAATCATGTTTCAAAACGTCAATCACAGTCAATAACTAAGATTACTCCAAGAAATTCTAATTGCTACGATAACGATAACGATAATCTAGATGTTAACAATTTATGTAATGATCATTTGGAGGAGATTAATTTAATGGATGGTGACACATTAGAAAAGCATGAACAACATGATGATAGTGTGCAACCTAATAGATCTAATGACTGAGTTCGCTAAAAGTAAATTTATAGAGTGCTACGATTTTTACCCTACATAAATAGTACTATATCTAGCTTTATTGAAAATTCTACGTAATTATAACTACGATATCATTTAAAATAGATCATCGTTAGCTATGCTTAATGCACTAAAAATTTCCATATAATCAATCAAAAATATTAGGCAACCAAGCGTTTGATAATTTCTTAACTTTACATTTTTTCAAGTTTTTGTAACGTAGTAATATCCATACAATAGTACCCCTCTATCTTTAATTACATAAACTAATAATTTATAGAAGAAGTTTTAATTTGTTTGAGTATATAATCTTGTTTTAGTACATTTTTTTGTTCTATTTAAATTTTTATATGGGACAATGCGTTGTTAATTTAATTTGAAAGGAAAAAGGAAATAAATGAGCACTCAAAATCTAACAATTTTTAACACAGACCATTTGTAATGACTATTTTCCTATTATGCGAAGACATTTATGCACTCAAATTATTTTAAAATGCAGGAAACGATTTCTAGCTTACTTTGCTCTACACTTAACTATACGTGTTATTTAACTATATGGGAATTTCAAACTTCAGGATCCTCAGTTACGGTTGCACTTATACTGCAAATATACTATTAATGCTAATAGTATATCATCATTCGCCAGTGCTTATTAGTATTCGATAAAAATAGAATGGGCAGTTTTATTATATCGTAAAAGGGTGAAGAAATCGATAATGCCAGGAGTTTAGCGATTATTGTTTAAAAGTTACGTAACATTAGGGCATCTTAAATCGCAATACATTATATTTACATTCACAATCTGGTACATATTCATTTTTATAATATAATGGCGATATAATATATCTAATCAACCTTTGAAAATAGTAAATGAAATTAGTTCTACATGATTTAAGATTTTACATGAAATATCATAGCCTTCGTCAGCGGAATAATAGTTACACCACATAGCGTCTGATGTTATCAAATTCTTTGTAAAGAAATCAAATAGAGTTTTACTCTGCATTGATGGTGACACCGTAATTGATTTATCAATCATTTACCATTATTGACTACGCACGGCTTATTATAAAATTTATCATTTCGTACAATTATATGACATCATCTTAATAATATACCTATTGGTGTTAAAAGCTAATGTTAGATACACCGGGGAAAACTATTTTATCGAAGTTAAGTGTGCCCTATCCATTTACTAACTTTAGGAGCAATCCCAGCTAATTTCAGATTCTATGCTTGTTAACTCCAGATTCTGCACGTGTTATCCTTACTCCCTACGATTAAAATTAAGTAAGTTACATATATTATCTTAATTTGCTCAGCTATCTATCCTTTAAATGCACTATATTGTATATTGTAACCTGTAATAATCATATTTCCTTCGTAGTTGAATGTACAGCTAAAAATTTCATCACTATGTCCTTCCAAGATCTATTAAAAAGTGTTGTATATTCATTTACGTTATTGATCATGCCACATACTGATCACTGATATCGAAATGACTACGTTATTACTTCTTTACCTGCAGACAATTGCCAGTTTCTGGATCCCATAATCTAGCTGTTTTGTCGCTACTTGCTGTTAATATTTTATTGCCTTGCGGATTAAAACATACCTAGTAGAGATAAAAATTAGTATTTTAATAATTTAGTAAATATAAAATTTCGTTCATCAATCTCATCGATATCATCATATATTTACTTTAGAAATTTCGCCTTCATGGCCGATCAATTTAGTAATACAATTATGATTATAAGCGTCATAAACCCTACACGTTCCTAGAAAAGTTAAGATTCACTCCCATTAAATTTAACAGTAACTTGCAATAGCTAATAAATGAAGTAATACTAAATTTCGTATAACCATAGGAAAGATTTATTTAATTACCATCAGCTGAGGCTGTTGCAAATTTATGTCCAGTAAAATTGAAGCTAACATCTAAAACTTCGTCTTCATGGCCACTGGATAATTATCGAATTAGGTAAATTTAGTAACCAATAAGCAATTTTTCAACATTCCATCAATTTTCTATCTATCCTATCAACGACTCCATGCGATGTTAGACTGAAATACCTGAATGTATGAATACACTTTCCGCTGTTGACGTCCCATAATTTACATGTTTTATCCTGCGAAATCAAGACTGTTAGAGACATTGATAAAGACTATGGAGTAAATTAATAAAACAAACAGTGCTTGAGTATTAATAAAATAGGGCGTGACTGATATGACTAGCTTATCTTACCATTGATCCAGTTATAATGAGCGATGAATCATAATTAAATTGGGTACTGGATATTTCACTATGATGACCTATCAGTGTATGTATTCGTCTACCAGTTTCCGAATCCCATATGCTAACAGTATGATCAAATGATCCAGTAACCAGCTTATTGCCAGTTGAATTAAATGCTAGTGAAATTATTTCTGCAGTGTGACCCTATTGTAGATATTACTTAAACTTTAGTATTTTGCTTCTGCAGATATGCAATCGATAGATGTTTAATTCAATAGCAATCAATCCACATAATTTGCCTTAATTTTTGTACATTGAGATAGTAATACTATCATACTATCATCTAAATTTTATATAATTCTTGCAAATAAGCAGTAGGTAATTTAAAGGCTTACAGATAATGTAGCGACTTCTGTTCCGCTTTGCAAATCCCACAATTTAGCAGTAGTGTCCATACTACCCGTGGCAATTATAGTGCTCGGAGGATTGAAGGAAAGGCAAACCTATATTATTCATTTTTATCATTGTAATGCCATAACATATTGTAGATTAATTGTTATCTTAACTGGGATTAGAACTAATATGGGTAGATCATTACTTATTAATGTATAAATCTTAACCACGTCGTCTACCGAAATTTATATATTGACGCCGTTATCGATATAATATAATAAAGTTATTCGTGCACCGTGATACAATCGAAATTAATTTCTTACGATTTCGGCTGTATGTCCTTTAAATGTATGATAACATTTTCCAGTATTTGCATTCCAAAGCTATATCAAGTAAGGTAGTTTAAAGAGGTTATTACAAAATGACAACGATAATATTATAAGCAGACTCGTATATTGTCAGAGTATCACTTTAATTTTGTTTAAATGATTTTTCACAGTGATTTTATTTTAATACACAGTATGATGACATTGTCAAACCTTGCACGTTTTATCAAAAGATCCCGTGGCAATTTTGTCGCTGAAAAGTCAATTTAATGTCCATATGTAAGTAAACTAATTGATATACTTTCAAAGTCTTATCTTTCAGGATAATAAAATGTTAAATTAATTAAATCTCAAAAGAAATACAGAGATTTATTCTTATTTAATAACTTATACCCGTATGGATTATTGAAAGCAACTGCGTAGACAACGTTCCTATGGCCTTCTAATGTGTAAAGCTCTTCCCCTGATGATGTATCCCATATTTTACAAGTGCGATCATAGCTTCCAGTAATGAAACTATAATAAAATTTGTAATATACAAGCACTGTATTAATATTGGGCAGTTTAAAAAATAGAGTTCTTAACGCATCCTAATCTATAATAGATAATACTTATTTGCTACTATATAGAATTTTTTTATGGATACCTAGTTCCCGGCTTATTGAAAGCGACATTCGTAAGAGGTAGAATGTGTGCCCTGAGGACCTATTAGAAGGAAAATGATATCATATTGATAAAGAAGGTTTAATATGAAGTGAACGTGGCTGGCGAGAGCATCGATCGAGTCCAGTCTGGCTTATATACGTGTATATTACGAATTGAAAATTCAATCACATCATTTGGATTACCTTAAATAAATAGAATTTCTTTGTATCTTTGTTAGCGAGTTTATATTGTAATTCTGTGTAAAGATAGCGTTAAGAGAAAAATCTTTTTTTGTAGGCAAGAGACATTGGTTGATGAATACAAGCTCTTTTGGCCTGATGCTACTGCAAAGTATCGCAGGACTACGTCTACAATGTACAAACCGTCCAATTTTGAATTACAAAAATAAGCTATGGTAGACATTTTCCAAAACAATAATTTTAACTACTGTTGGGTTTATAAATGTACTATAGCATAGCACAGCATTTAAAGATTTCTTTTTCTCAGTTTATTGGATGAGCAGTGGAATTCAATTCGATTAAACACAGTATTTGTATGTATTGATGAAAGGATGGATTTTACACGTAGCATAGGCTATTTTGGCCGTACGGTATGTCAAGGATACTTGCAATTAGTCTCCTAACTTGTTCATACTTGGACGGAGTTATTAGAGGTTCTTTATTTGCAACATCTTCTAATAAATCATCGATATCGGTCCTAAAATAAGTAATGAAATTACTTTACTATCGTTTAAAAAAGTATGCAATCGTCGTATACAACATGTATATCTATCCTTTAACATCCACCGCTGTATGCGCATTGGCAATGGAACTATTGTAGATTGATCAACTCACTCTGGTTTTAAATCTAGTAGATCGATGCATTTCGTTCGCAATTGGCAATTTTGTTCATATTCCAAGATAATCCCTATAATAATAATTAAATAGAAAAGGAAACCATTACTAATTTCATTTAATCTAGAGAAAGTCATTGCCGATAGGAAAAACTAGGACCAGCAGTGGCATCGCTGATGCTATCAATGCTCGACGCGAAATGGCAACCATTTGCACTAAAACTTGGCTATCACTTCACTTGAAACTATTCCATTATCCAGCTATTAGGTTATGATAGAGAAATCGATGATATTTAAGTACCTGGAGGGTAATAACGTAGCAAGAAACGTTTCAGACGCATCGCGAAGCAATGGAGGAAGATTTTCTACGGCGCCTTTGCCACTCCTGAACTGCTGCCAAGGTAACGTTCGCAGTCGTTAGTACATTCAATTGCAGGACGGTTCTGTACCGACGGGCGGCGGTCCGTAGCTGATGATGGGGTAGTTGGGGTCTAGGGTCGAGAAAGCCTCTTGAAAAATACTCTTTAGCTCAGTATAGAAAATCAAGTATAGTATGGGTTGAATGAGTCGTTAACGCGGCGCGGCCATCAACAAACGGGGTAGAAAATCCTCTAGATGCACTTGCTTGAAATAATAAATAAATTATTTCTATCGAAGAGAGAATGTATTGCTTTCTGGTAATAATAAATTATAGAGAGCATGAGATCTCACTAAAGTAGTAGCCTATAGACGGCATACATCCAGTATGAAGGTGTTGGTTCTAATTAATTAATCTAGACGGCGCATATCGAATGGTAAAGGTGTTTGGTTTTTAATTCAATTAGCGAGTTTTGACTTGTGAGTAACAGTGAATCAGGGATTTTGAAGAGAAAGATGAGTAGAAGTCGCTGCATTAACTATCTCTTATTATGCGAGCCAAGGCCGTCATAATGACCTACGAATAGAGGGGGCCTGCTATTCAGTGCTGAGAGTGAAATAAAAAGTATGCAACAGTTCAAAATGTGGATGCCCAAAAAGTTGTTAAACTATTCTGTAGCTTCCCATCGATATGGTCTAATTTCAATCGCTTTGCTACAGAATCAGTGCATTTGCAAACACCAATTCAATATGCCTACACTGATCTAGTAATAGCGCTATGCTTATTTGCTGAAATGCCTAAGTTAATATTCATACGCGTAGATTGCTTACTCGAACGGTTGTAAATCTTTCGTCAACGACAAGAACAGCATTGGGTGGAGTACAGTATGGACAGAAACTATTGTACCATACATACAACATAGCAGATTTGCTGAGTCAGCCAGCACGTAAGGTAGTAATGGAAAGTTACTCCTGCATATTGATTAATTGTTTATTCATTCGATGAAAATAATCTCTATTTCTCTATTCGACTACTGACTGAGTATGTAGACTAAATTAAAGTAGATTAAAAGCAACTTTGTAATCCTTGACGATCAGGTGAGAGAGCACCATCCGTCATGATGACCAAATTTAACTACCTCGTATAGGAATCCTACGCACTATATTGAGTATCATTGGCACCATACTCCATACTGTACTACGGTGAGCAACATGATCGTTCTCAAGTTCCTAATGAAAATAAAGAACTTGAGTATATTTTAAGGTTGGAATTTTCCTCAATCTCATGTTGTTCATATTCAGTCTACGTCTTCACTGTCAAGATGAAACAAAAAAGTAGAGAAATATCTTTTCGATAGAATAGTAGGTAGTGTATGTAGAGTCCTATGTAATAGCAATGCTCAAAATTTTCTAAGATAAATTATATAAAATCATGGGAATGGAGCCGACATTATTCGAATCTTAAATGATTGCATGCAGTGTTGAGCAGGTCTTGTTAACACAGCAAAATCAGATTTCGTTATGCAGTCTTCTAAAACTAACGAATTGAATCAGATATGATTAGCGGGCTGGTGCGATGGACCATTGATTACTATGAGTCTTCACTTGCGTACAGTAGTTGACACCTCGACAAGATATGTTGACCATTTGTATATTGAATCTCGCTTTCTACTCAACTGTTGATGGGATAGCATACACATACTATCAGCATTAGTGTACTCCACTTGCTTAGCTGCAGCAAGTACATACATCTAAAATTAGACGATATAGAGAGTCACAGGCTATAAAGTTCAACGTTTATTAAATCTGATTTTTAAACAAGTAACGAGTAAAATTGAATAACTATGCAAAAGTGCGATGTGTCTGCACTTAGCTCTACGTACCGATCAATGCAAAATAAAATTTTATAGAAGTCTTTGCCAATATTAATGTTATCATTACATTTATACTATCGCTAAAAGTAGAAAATATGTTACGTCATTGCCGAAATAATTATATGTAAATTAAATCATTAACAGAGAAATTTTTGTATATACTTCATTTCGTTCTATGCTCGTAGGTTAATAAGGTGACATAAGTCACTGAAAAACACGACATTTATGTATCGGTGCTGTTTATAGGATGGAACGAATTAACACATATCTTTTTACTCAAACATTCTATAAAATAATGAAGCAGGTTTAAAGCCATACTCTGTTGCATTCACTCACTTAAGATAACCAAAACAAAAAAATGACCACCCAATGATGTGTTAAATTGCTGTCGTATTACGTTTAAGTACATTATTAATTGTTAGGGGACTCATATCGGTTCTCTAAATCATTGAGATGAGGATTATATAATCATATACTAATGATCTAAATAAAACAAGTTATTATCAACTAAGCGCTTTTATACATTAACTTTATGAATGAAAATGGAATATACTTTCTTCATGATAGAATATTTCTTTTAGAAAAAATAAAAGGTAGATGAAAATTACATTTTTCATCGCGTGATTCGAAAAAAGCACACAATCAAGAAAACATAAAACGTTTGCAATTACGTAACACACGTGCTTTTCGATTTAGTTACAACGTAAATGAAATATATAGACATGAGATATTTTTTGAAAAATTAACGTGCATACGTAATAATACATATACATATACATGTATATATATATATATATAAATTTATACATAAATACCATATATTCTATCTCAAAACTAGACTCTTTCCTTCATATTAATATTATCGTTAAGCTTCTAAATAAATAGATAGCCGAATCAGATTTAAAATAGCGAAAATTTCTAATACGTATATAACGATTAATTTAATTTTGTAATATTTCAAACTGGATGTTGTACAATATAAAATAAGACTACTCCATCAGTAAACTTTCACGTTAAATAGTGTCGTCTAGAATTGGCATACTCGGGCTAATATGATAAATAATTCGATTATGGTATTAAAGTGGATAAAACGTGTTTCACAATGGTATCCGTACTCTATAGAACGTTTGTTTAAGAATCTCCGGCATAACTTGCAATTAAATAAATTTTGCCAAAACCTTATTTATATACTGTGCGCAGACATTTTGCGATCTGAATTATCCATGCTAAATGTTTGCTCTCCCATCTTTTCTTGCAGTCCTTGTATTCCACGTAGGATTCTTTTAACATGACCGACTTTAGTGACACCGAGTAACTATGCGATTGATAACATTGAAATTATTCCATTAATATCTAGTTTATGCGATATCTACATCGCGTCCGAAATAAACAGTAATAATTGCAATCCTACAACGGTCATACTTAAGCATGAATTTACTTATAACATAACGCAGATAAGACATTCGAGTTATCGCATACCGTCAAATCATTTCGATCAAGAGTTAGTAAATCGCGACCACAAATGTCGTGATCTTGAAATGATTGAGTGTACTCCGGCAGACCAATTTGGTCTACCCAATCGGCAACTTTATCTGTACCCCATGAATTGATATCGTAATCTAAAATTATAAGTCCTAGTTATTGAGTATTTTATGGCATGATCGAAAATTACGTAGATTGCAATTCAGAATTTACTCGAACGCCAATTATCAGTTTCAACGAAATTTATAATAGAGAAAATAAACAGTCAAAATAAAAACAGTTATCATTAAAGCGAGAGTATACCTTGTAAATCTCTTATTGATGTGGCCTTAATAGGAGCGTGGTCCGGATGGCTTTGTGGAGCTAGCAAACCATTAGAACTAGTAGTTTGTGATGATTGCTGACTTGATTTAATAGATTTCTTTTGTGAATGCTTAGATTTTACCTTCTAGAATTCAAACAATAACAATCGATACATAATTAGATGCTATCAAGTGTTATCATCATTCGTAACTTAATACTAAAATAAATCGATTGCAACGCTACCAAAAATGTGTGACATAGAATTGTTTATATAGACCATATATCAATGGTATATTGATACAAATACACAACAATCTAGTAAGAAAAGTTATTAATAAGTCTTTCGTACTGTTTCTTTCCTAGAAAATCTTTCGGTAATAATTTTAGTTTCCCTTTCAACTGTAGCTAAGGAAATGGCTAAATTACTTTCTTGCTCTGAACATAATTTCTGCAACAGAACAGAGAATATTAGTTAATCAACAGCTAGTAATTTATGATTTGTTAGGTGCTTAATCAATCTCCACATTAGTGAAAACTTTGATAGCTGGACATACCGTTGAAAGATTAGAAGATTGCATATTCATAAACCACCGATTGTTGGCTATGTTAGTTTGAATAAGTTCAATCATATCAAACACAAACGTTGAGTCGGAAATCTATAACAAGATAGATGATGTACATCGTATTACCTATTCCATGTTCACAACACATACATATCATGCAATATAATAAAGATATTTATTATCACTAGTTATTAATCTTACTTCTGGAAGTCGGCCGTTAGGGAATAATTTATCCAACGCCGACGCGGTATTGGAGGCTAGTTGATATAGGTCGGTTTCTATATAAGCTTCACTCTCAGCAACCATTTCGATACTTTGAAATCAAAAAAATTTACATCAACGAAATTTTGCATAAGTCTAAATGAAAACTGTACAGAAGTACCTCTGTATTAGCTTCGAACTAGCCTGTTCTAATCCAGCTAATGCATTTTCTTCCTCAGCTGTTAATCGTGGAATATAGCGTGCCTTCGTTTTATCATTCCATGACCGTAATGCACTTTCAAAGGCCTGCAATAATTAATTGTTATAAATATATGTTAACAAAGTCGATACAACAATTAAAATCACTGGCTTTACGAAATACCTGATTTCGAACGAGCATTGGCATCCGATTTTTATGAACTATTTGAATAACTCCAGGCTTCTGCATCCATGCCTCTCCGTCTACTTGGATAGGGATATCCTCATTGCCGAGAATTGTTATTTTAAGAGAACGACATTGCGTCAAACGATCTTGCTGAATACCAAATACTTTTGTTCGAGCCTAAAAACAACAAAAGGTGTTAGTTAACTACCTAAGATAATCCTCTGGTACCAATATCAAAAAATTTTTTAAATTAAGCTTAAATACGTACAAAGTGGCTAGCACCAGAAACAGCCACTACTTCTAATAATTTATCATCATAAGATGGTGCAACGAAACCCTACATGATCAAATAGAGTATTTCAAATTACAAAAGCATAGGTTTTAGTTATGAAACTAAGATTCTTACAGCTTCTTCTCTAGTACTGCCCCAAAAATTAGTACCGCCCATATAGCTATATAGAAAATTAGATATCAATATTTGTTTCTGTTAAATTGATAAGAGAAATCACAGCACGTATTTTGTACATCATATACTGTACCTTGGGATATTTAGTACGACAATACCTTGCAATCTCGGTAATTTTAACTCTTTCCCGTCACACTATTATAACATAATTAATAATTTTCTTAGCAGGCAAATATTATATTAGCACATTAGCTATTTATCAAATCTACATTTCCATAATTTTTCTTTGAGTTTCGTTTACCTCAATAATTAAACGGCGATAAAGGTTTCTAAACGTATTATTAATAATTTCCCGTCCTCCCATTAAAAGGTAGCACATCTTATTTCTAGCTCGATTTCTAATTGAAGCGTCGAGATATAATTTTAGTACTTATCTCGTGAATGCCAACTATCGTCACATACTACCTGTATTTATCTGGGTGTTCTTCTCTTCGCAAATGAAAATCAAGGCTTATTTTAGCATCTAATCCGATACCAAAGTAGTTGTTCATAATACATCTCTCCTTATAACCATTTCTAAAGTTTCAAATTTGCAATATAAAATCATTATAGTTACATTATGATATCATTAATAACAGCGAAATATAAGAAAGAAAAACGTACAGTGATTTTTCGCTGGTAGCTTTCGCTAATATAGGATTAATCAGGTGTGCATTAATTTTAGCCTTATCTTCATCATTAGGAAAAACTATTTTTGGTGCCGATAAATTCGGCATTGATTGTTTAAAACTGGGTTTTGTCGCCATATTATTATCCTTTTGTTACAATAATTATAGGTTAGTGTTTATCGATTCTACTATTTATCCGCTTGGTTAGTAGCGCATTACTACAGAAACTCACGCACATATGAAGTTATAAATCTCTATTAACAGTTTTTTCGGAATAAATTACCTTATACATTGGCGCCGGCTCACTACCTTTTCTTGGTCTACTTTCATAATTAGTAGACATTTGTTGGTTATTTTTACTTTCCGTACAATGCATATCCCGTTGTACATCTAACGGAACATCAGATATAGAACTAATCGACCTTAGTGAGTCAAGATTCTGCGAAATAATTGGACGATTCTGTTCATCTAACGCTAAGAAGTGTAAAAGATAATGTTCTCAATCAGCTATCGCCAACTTTGTGACGAGAATATGACGGAAGAGTTATACCTTTTTCTGCATGTTCGATAATTTGTCGAATTGCTTTCTTTAAACTATTGGCACGAGATTTGAGAGCTTCCTTATATCTCAAGCTTATCTATAAATGCATTGACAATGATATCGGCTTTAGAGTATTTCCTCCCAAAATAACGATATCTAATTGTTTACTTGATCATCAGCATGGGTACTGGCGTTGAACGATGAACTAGCAGCTTCCGTTTCAGCCGATAGAGTCCGCAATAGCAATGTAACTTTTTCATTTAACACGGAACACTATGTATACAAGGGAATTATAAAAACTGTATGAGAGCGTTGGACTAGTGCATTTTCTGTTATTATGTAATATTTAATATCGAAAGCGACAAATAATTATTTACGATGAAAGTCCTCAATCATATAAAGTAGTAGTAACCTTGTATATGATGGAATCCGGCTCAGTTGGATCCGATGTTGACGTAAAAGCTGCCTTAACTTTATCTATCAATTGTTTTACAGTTTCACAGAATACCCTATTTTTGTTAATTCAAAAATGTCAGCAAGTAAAACTTGTTAAATAATTAGCAACTCGATAACGCATATAATTTAAATGATCATACGAAATTATTAAACCTTGTTGATCTTATGACTTCAGTATTATCAGTAGACTCTATCATCTTTGCCAAATGGCTAGCAACAGAACTTTCATAAATAGTAATTTTAGAGTTGTCCTATCAGTTGAAATATTAGAGCATTGTCATGCACATATTTTAACTCGAGATTAAGGCGTCATAGAAGCTAATGAAATAATACTTACTGCAGCATTTTCTTCATCATTTGTTCGGGTCATTATTCCCCAGCTAAATCAGAATAAGATAGATTTAAGATAAGTAGAATAAATCAGTAACAACTATTCATAAAGAAAACTAACCGATCCAGCATTTTTGTACTGGATTTTTCTAGTTGTGCTAAAACTGTTGGTACATGGCTCTCATCGTCACATGCTGATCCCCATCCTAATACTCTAGCCAGGTCATTACCAGTACCGAGAGGTAGAACTCCGACCTGACACTATGTTAAAAAATTGACATACTTAACCGCATAAAGGAATAAATACGAATACTACATAATAATCTATATTCACTATGTCTTAATAGCACGATAAGAATAAAAAATATTTTTGTTGGGAACAATTAAATTTATTATATAAGGTATACTCTAGAAATAAATTGAGTAAAATAATTAGGTTCAGTGGCCACACTAACTTGATGAGAAAGATTCATTTTATCAACTTCCGATAGTACCCATCCAATTGACCCATCTCCACCGCAGATAAGCACGCGGAAAGGATTAAAGTTACGGAACAGTGATAATCTAATAATAATAACAATTATATAAGAGTAAGTTGCTATTCCATATTCAATTAATAAGTAGTAGTCATGTAATTTTAAAAAAATTAGTATGTTTTTAGTTATTTACCCAACGGATGGACCCCCGACCATCAAATCGTAAACTTGCGTTGGATTTAAAAGCTGTTTAAAACGTCGTATGAATCGAACACCCTAATCCGATGGGAAAAAGTCATTTTACTGAATTATATCGACTATGAGTGACACAATAAGAAATTGTGTAATTCCCTAATTATCTTCTATAACAATTTACCTGATTTTCTCCACTTTTTGAGTTAATAAATACAAGCAATGGACTACAGTTTGGTGGTTGCTTAGCCTTAAGTTAGATCGAATAATTAAAAGAAATGTGTTAATCACATTTGTATCGGATGTTAATGCATAATAATCGTGTACTTTTATTTGATACCAATTTTATTAGTTTTTAAATACTATAAGAATTTAGTGTCATTCGTAATACCTCCCAGACCACACTGCGAAATGCAGTTGTAACATTGATAGCAATTGGTGGTATGGTTGATACTCGGTGAGGGCCTAAGCTGCATTTAGCTGGATACAATGGCTTACAATCCTTATGAACCTATTGTTATTTAATATTTATAGTATTTAACTAGAGTGTATGTTTTCTCAAATACTGTAAAAGGTATAAAAAAATAAGCAATCATTATGAAACTTACAGAAACTCCACACCATAAACATCTAAAGTCTTGCAATCTCTTCGTACTACCGCAAGACCTCTCGCAGAGTCCGCATTTAGAACCACTAGCTAGATTTCCTTCATTCCATTGATGAGGTACCGCGTACTACATAGCAATTATAGGCAAGATAGAACATCAGAGTTATTCTATGACATACAAATATGCCTCAAATTTACTTTTAGTAATATACAGATATTATTACAACCTTATCATTACTGATAAGACATTCTTTGTCAATCGATGCACTCGTAGTCCATTTACAATTATTTGGGGCTCGGGCTGCACATCTTTTGTGAGCTTTATATTTGCAGACTGAGGATACAGAATATTCAAAACAGTCAATTTTTTGAAAGTTATGCTGTAATAGCGATAGTAAATGCACCTTCACAAGAAAGACCATGGGATTTGACACCGGAAAACGATTCACGGCATACATTACAGAAAGTTGGTCGATTATGAGAGCATGCATGCCATTTATGTTGGCCATTGGTTATATTAATTGGATCATACACCTGAAGAATAACGTGTAGTAGTAGTAGTACTTGGTTAATAACAGAAAAAAAAATGCTTCTAGAATGAATATCAATTTATTAATATCGGATAAATTGATCAGGAGTCATTGCCCATTCTCTAGTTTTACAGTTATCTGAATACTTCCTACCGCTTCTCGAGGTTCTTTCTTAGCAGCTCTGATAACATTTATCCAGTCTTCCATTTCTTTGCGGCTTTCAGCACTTATAACTAATTTTCTGAAGGGTGTTGTTATCTAATTTATTTAAAGCAATTGTCTTGAGTAAAATGTATTCATATAATATAGATTAATAAGTTACTTATACAAATTTTAATTCGATATGATAAGATATACTTATTTCATCAATAACACTTGAGTAAGTGATCCCCACAGTCTTCCAACTCAAATACGCTATTATAAGGGCACTTTTTATTATCTTACAGATTATATATATATTGTGAGGAAAAGTTTTTATCAATATAAAAACTCATTGAATAATTCAATATCATTAAAGGTAATTGCTTAGCAACTTAAATTTCGAAAATGCGTTATTACTAGATTATTTAGGGCTCATTATGTAGAAATGGTACTTGCTAACATGTATTAACTAAATAAAAGAGCGGGAAGAGTATAATTATATTTTACGTGTACCAGATATTAACACGGAATGAGATGATTGTATAGTATTCACTAAATAGATGAAAACATAATTAAAAATGATCGCAACATAATATAGAATGATTTTTCTACATTTATCAATTTTTCCTTATCAGATATTAAATCCATTAAAGTAAAATAAATAAGATAGAGAATCAACATTGGCTTACCGTGAAGCTGTGATTGGAGTTTTTAGTACTCCTTTCAGCAACGCTAGAATCAGTAATGTCGATTTCGTCATGACATGAAGACTAAAATGTAAAAAGACAGAGGATTCAACTTTTTGATCATCTGCACTTATAACCAGTTAGTGTTAGCATAACTTTCTCTACCATATCAAACATAATAATACTTAAAATAGACAGCCAAACACAATCATCAAATCAATGAAATAAAATAGCAAGTTGAAAAGAATCGAATACGTATTAAAGATTAAATATTAATTACTACTACAGAAAAGATAAGAGATGATTAAAAATAAAAAATGGACTACCACAAAAGAGAAAATTTGCATCATTTTAAATATTCATTTATGATTTTATAATATTATTTCTTTATTTATAATTAAAAGAATAAGTGCTACATCGTGTGATATGTCCACTTTGATAGTTAACTCAATAAAGTGGACAGTAGATTGCATATATGACGTAAAAGTACAGTTAATTATGTATTACATTTCTATTTCTTCTACTAAGAATATCATTAATCTGAAGCAAGATCTTATCAATATTGTATCGTACGAATATACTGCATACTGTAGTTCAGTAGTAATCGATCAATGACTTGAAAATGAATTCGTTAAATGCTTTGGCTTAGAAGTTAAAAATAAGTAATGTAGCCTGTCAATTATATTATACAGATAATTGGTTGATTGTACTGGACTGAATCTAATACGATCTTGGTCTAGTCCCATAAGTATAATGAATTAATTAGTCCATTCCGTACGGACGTATTGATATAACATATAAATAAAGGCTTAACTAGCATCTATGTACGAGTGTATAATTTAATTTGCTTTTCATTGGTTAAAAAATAACATTTATGAAAAACTATGAAATTATGTTGTGTCTGTTAAAAACTACAGATAAGATATATAAAAAGATATTGAGTTAAATACTTCACGCAGGGCAATTATCTGCTATTAGTTATTTAGATTGGTATTTTCAAATTTTTATATCCTCATTAGCTAATTTATAGAGTGTTCAACGATTGGATGACATAACTGAAGTATGTAAGCGTCATTAAAAAGCGATTTTCATATGAAAACTCATATACTTGAGAATGCACAATTAAGCAGGCACGAGATTGCTAATGTTACTGCTATTTTTGAAAAAATACTTAGAGTAAACGTAAAATTGCCTATTGCTTTGCCTTCAGTCATATGACATAAATCGCCTAGTATTCATCCTTAACGCTTCAATTTGACATAAATACACTCTGTCGTATCCTTCAATATTCACTATCTACACAAATGTATTGCCCTATTCCAGATTCATATAAATTTTGAAATTAATTATCGCTATGAATGATCGCTCTAAGTCTATTAATCAGGCAATCATTACTTCTACAATAAACTGTACAGCATAGCTAATTATTTCACCATTAGTTCGTATACATAGATATTTATCGCCTACGTTAATAACACGCTGAATTTGTATTTGGGAAATTTTTAAGTATACATGTTGTAGATCGATATATTATGCGGATATATATGTACGTATGTATGTATTGTATGTCTATATTCGCGTATTAGTAACCTATTTGTATACATATTCTACAGTACATATTAAGACCAAGTTAAAGCGGTAGAACAGAAATATACGTAAAACTTACATGAAATATATGCTTGTATTAATTATTACATTAAGAAAATGAAATGAAAGGTTTTTCTTTATATGAACGTAAACTGCCACTATTAAATTTAAGTAAAGCTGATTAATTATGATAGAATATATTATGAACTTATCTGGCAATCATCACGTATCATCAATCAATTCAGAACTAGTAAAACTTGATTATACTGTCAATGGTAAAAAGCTAGGGCAAGTTGGATAAATTAACGTAAAGTATGCAGTTATCAGATATGAGTTAACTAGAATGACTGATTATAAATTACATCTAATTATTGATAAGAGTAAGAAAGTCTAACAAAACTTTAAATTTAGGCTTGATCAGGCAAATGTGATCATAGGTAAGAATTGATCGTAAATTATAACTAATTACGTTAGATATAGCTTGATTAATTATAGAGTATATCATAATTATGATGGGAGTTATCTAGTAATAATACTTACGATGATTGCAAATTTATCTAAGATTGATTCTAAATTGTAATCATTAGGTAGAAGTAACAGTGATGAAATATGCACAGTATCAGTCGGACTAACTATCACCTCTAAAAAACGATTGTTTTACCTTTGAAATGGATTGACAATTTTAACTATTTAAGCTATAAACAAATCCGATAGCATGTACTTGTAGATCATGATCATATCTAATAAAGTGATCACGTTCAAGATGAATATTTTCCCCTTTTAGATTGTAGATTATCCCCATTAAATTACAACATTTCCTATTGTAATATGGAGTATGTACTTATAATTGATTCTGCTTTGTCATCTTTTTATCTAGTCTTCATACCAATAATATATAATCAATTTTATAATGTCTACATAAGAATGTAACGATGAAAAGGATGATCCACTAAAAAGAATCCCAAAATAGCCAAGACTTGTTAATTTTTACCTCTATTCTTAGACTTCAGCTTTAACTGTGCTATGATCAATCTTTTCCAGCGTCAAAATTAACAGTAAGATAAATAGAATAAGCAATGAACATAGTATAAAGAAAATAATAACTACTATAGTTTAGCATTGTTAGCGGCGATGAAGGATGATTAATGAGTACCGGATCATAATGTATGGACTATGGGATCAATTTAGTAATCCACGGTTGTAAACTGCAGTTATTATTCTTAACGATCAAATTACCTCCTATATTATTAAGGATATTATACAATTATTTCTTTGAAATGGAAGATGCAATTGATATTGTGATTTCGTCTATCCCTGGCCATTAATTTGGATTAAATTATTATTCATCAATTCTTACTACCATGTCAAAATACTTTAGAGAGAGAATTCTAATTTTATTGTTAAAATCCACCAATCTACTCTAAGTTATGGCTAGTTTTGAACAACGTAAGAATACTTGAAATGGGTGGCAATTTTTTTTTTTCATCTCATTTACCCATATCCATACTCATTTATCAGTTATAAATCAGTGATTACATTATCGTTTGGGGCTTTTATGGATAGGAGATGGGAGGGGAGAAGGAAATTTTATATTTTGCGGCCAAGTCGACGATTGACATCTATTCCTTAGGCTAGTTAGTATATATTGTGTCGGAATTTCTTTGCTAAAAGAGATCATCAGCAAAATTGCGTATATGACAATCTTATACTATATTTACCTAAGGGCACTGCACTTTTTTTTACATTCCATTTGGCCAAAATAACAAAAAGAAAATGAAAAATGGCAAGAGAAAAATAAGGGTAAAGCGACTTAAGCCATGAAAATAAAAAGGCAGCTCATGGCAATAACATCTCTCAGGCGATATGCTAGCAGTGCAACATAGGTGATTGTAGTATTTAAATAGAAATATGTACATACGTAATTTGTTTAATCATACAAGAGATTTCTTAAGCATATGAAAGGAGTCTATAGGTCTATCGGTAGGAATAATAGGAATGATTTGAGACAATACAAGACAACGCCTGTGAAACTAGAATAATTAGAAGAAATTTTGATACGCAGATGTTATCCAATGCTGTAAGCTCTTCTCCTCTTTTTCTTTTAAATGACTACAACCCATTGAGTAAGATAGATTGTCACCAAGCACAATCATAATATTATGAATTAAAGCAACAATCATCGGCTATTATCCATAACGCCTTATTAAAAATTTCAACAGGACTAGTAAATCCAACGGTATAAATAAAGGCAAGCCACAAAACAAGGAGATAGCATGTGATTCTACGAGTATGCTACTATTTGATGTTTGTTTCTGAATATACAGTAGATAGTTTTCATCTCATCATTTTTATCATAATAAGGACTAAATATAGGCAATAATCATTTATTCGCTACCTTTTTGAGTATTAAAATGAGTAATATGTGAGATCCAGTCATGAAAATAGTAAAAAATGCTCTAAATTAAATTCTAATATTGGTTTAGTACTTTCCAGAGTTGACAAAATAATCTAGACCGTATAGAATGAAAGTTAATAGGAGGGCCCATGTTTTATTCTTCTTTTGTCAACTAACGGAAGGATAGATGAGGGGAAAATAGAAAAAAGTTCAATAGGTCAAGGCATAGAAAGATGCTGGACATTGAACAAGATATGATCATGAAATGAGTCTGTGCTAGGACATTTAAATACTAAATGCTGTAAAAACGATCCACTTCTGTGGATCGTTATAAGCATGTACTAAAATTAAAAAATACCGTAAAATATATTACCTCATATTTATAAAAGTAAGCAAATTCTAGTGATTGGAATATTGGCCACGCGAAGTTTGCAATTTTTTGATATATCTAATATAAGTGTTATTTGTCTTCATCTTACGTCGAATTTGTCGATTAAAAATAGTGAACCAGATGATGATAATACCGGATAGAGTATGATAACTCAAAGACAATTTACTTGATGAATTTTATAGGACAGCAATGCAAGTTATTGTATGCAGTTAATGATATAATGAGATGGACGCATAAGATGAAATTGCTAACGCTAGAACGTCCTATACAAGAATACTGTATAACGCATATTACAAGATAATGTATATTAGATCGATATGGTAGAAGTAATAATACGAGATACTTGTATGTCGATAACTACAACACAATAAGTTAAAACTTATCTTAAGCAGAAATTTGAATTTAACGCGAGTTGCTGCTTATTACTGTACATGTTATTACCATTAGTACATAAGAATGCTATATAGGCCGTGATCTTCATATTACCGAGATTGTCGTGATGAATATTTAAAGGAGTACTTTTAATTTATCTCACTGATAAACCTATCATCTATTACCAACAGTGATAGAAGAATTATACCATAAAGTAATACGATACGAATGTAGTAGGGGACATACCCGTATATATTAGTACATTTATCATTATGCCAAGTTTCAATTTATCATATAATGTTTAAAGTTGTTGGTCTTTCTCATATCTT